TCCATCCAACTTCCCTTAGTTTTGCAACAATGCTGAGTAAAGCAAGAGAGTATGCATCACAGTGTCTTAGAGAATCAGTTGAGTACAACAAAGAGAGATGGGATAAAGCCCACAAAGAACCAAAATTTGAAGTTGGAGAACAAGTTCTATTGTCCACGGTCAATTTTAATAACATACAAGGACCTAAGAAGCTGAGAGATCAGTTCCTAGGACCGTTCGTGATTTCCAAGTTAGTTGGAAATAATGCAGTTGAACTCATATTGCATGGGGAGTTGGAACGCAGGCATCCAGTATTCCCAGTGTCATTAATAAAAAAATATCATGCACCAGATACAAGTGACGTAAGGAGACAACAGGAAGTACGAGTTGTGATACCTCCATTTGAACCAGAGAATGAGAAAAAATTCTTGAAGGTGCTAAAATATAAGAAAGTTAAAAATAAAGACAATGAAGACGTCACACTTTATCTTGTGAGATACAAGAACAAAGGAGCAGATTGGGACGAATGGCTCCCAGCAGATAAAGTACCTAATTCTAAGGTAACTCTTAGAGCATACCGGGCATCTAAGAGGGAGAATCAACAGCAGTAGAAGGAAACCTTCTCTGGTGGTGGGGAGTGTCAGCCCTGAGCCCTGATTACACGACCACGGGCTAACAGTTACATATGTAATATTATATTATTGTATAAATCCATAAGTACATCTCACGGCTCAGTGTCAAGAGCCACATAAACACATGTACGTAATGTATTAAATACGTAGCAAACCTAACCCAAGCGCCAACCACAAGTGAGACAAGAATCACACGCCAACCACAAGTTGACGCTTGACCTGTGAATATATAAACCCCCCTTCTTCCCTTGATTCATCCCCCATCTTTTCACACACCACAACATCAGAATCACATTATACTTGAAATCCTATTGAGAGGATCTTTGAGTACGTGATTAGTTGTGTAGTCTAAAAGACCATCTTTGAGCATTACGGGTTCCATTGCTGAACACCCTTGGTATTGATTTCTACGAGCCCTGGGCCATAAACGTCTCTAGAAATAAACCATAAAGCAGTAAAGCTTCCTCCCTCACCAGGAGTCTAAAGTAGCCTCAGGATCTTTGGTTTACCAAAGTGTAAAGCCTGCCCCTCGCAGTCTCACGAGGTTTTAGCGTATTTACGCGTAATAGCCCTTTCCTTCCCCTTTATTCCCTTAAACCCTCTTCTCAGAGGTCAACTAACTGTAGTCTTCACTTGGGTGTACCAATTGAAGACCAGTTTTCCCTTTACCTACGCATTTCTCAGTGAAGAGTACGCCTAACAGACGCGTACCCCTCACAATATTCATATGGACACTCTTATATCTGTACACCAAAGATACCTCTAGTCTCAGTGCATGAATCTTTCCAGGCAGATTGTAATATAACTTAACATCACAATCAGAAAAAAGGATGATTCTATGAAAAAAAACCTCAAAGCAAATTCAAATTTAGTGATCATTTCACTTCACACTTAAAGATGTTTGATTGAACTTGAACTTTGAAAACTTCTGTATAAAAAGAAATCAAATTGATTTGAAAACCTTATACAGCAATTTTAAGAATAAATCTTGCCTGTTTGTTTTTACTTTTTTATTGTTTTCAAGGTTGAACTAAAAATGATTGACCTTTAAAATCCTACATAGAGCGCTGTAGTCAATGATGTGCTCAACTTTATACATTGTAATCCACCCTTCAAGTATCCTCCCCCCTTTCTTCTGTTTGAAACCATACCAAAGGTTGTGCATTTTTGGTACAAAGAAAGCAATGATTGTGAAAGAGAAGCAAGATTGTGATAACTCACAATCCTTACACCCTTGAATAAGTTGTGTCAGGACCGGCATAAACCGCCTCAGAAGCATATCTCCTTGCTCACAACAAGCTCATTGAATATGATAAAACCACATGGAATTATCCAATTACGTGTGAAAAGTATGTTAAAACAACAGTGTAATACTCTGACACATGAATAAACACATGTAATAACCACTTACACATGTGACACATAAGATATTTATTTCTATTTTACCTATATTCAATTACCCTTTTTCTACTTTTTCTATTCCTATCCTTCTCTATGTGATATTCAAACAATAAACATTGTTCAAGTTAAACAAAACACACACAGATCAATTTGTAGACAAACCTCAGTGATTTGTTTAATGATGATCTTTCTAATACTCATGTGTGATCCTATTTCAAGCAACTGAGTTGGATTGTGAAACCAACGTAGTAGCTGATCATCTAAAACTGATCTCCTTGGCACATCATGATGACTGCCAAGGAAGGATGTCTAGGGTTCATGTGCTAACACTATAAAAAATCTAATATTTTCTGGGCAGAAAGCATGAATATTCATATACAAAAATATTGCACTGCACAGATGTAGTATTTTTCGGCTATGCAAAATGATTAGAATTAATGTCAAAAATGATTAAAAATGCTATGTTAATGCATAAAAATGCACCATTAATGCACCATTAATGAAAAAAAATGCAGCATCAATGCAGAAAAATGCAGTGTTAATGCACATGAAGAATGAATGCAGAATTCCACCTTTTTCAATTTTGTTTGTCCTTCAGGTCAATCATTTTTCACTTGGGAAAAATACTACATTTGCCCAGTGTTGGAAGGTCAGGAAGACAGAAAAATAATACAAAAACATTTGACCATTGTTCCCCCTGGTGTTGACAACTTTAAGATGGGTATTTTTTTGTATTTTTAGTGTGTATATTGATGAGATTGTACTAACAAAAAACCCACATGATCATTAGATCTCCACCTGTAACAGATGCTAAAATTTAGCCCCTCAGATTCAAGAGAACAATATGAATTCTACAAATTCCCGTTTGCAATTGGCAAGCAAATTACTTGATTGTTAGTTCATTAGACAGCTGTAATTTGTCTCCAAAGCTTTCATCAAGGTCAAGGGTCTGTGTCTTGCTTCACAAAGAATCTATGTGGCTTTGTACAAAATACTTCAAATCAATAATAGCTTCTTTATAGGATGAGCTATAGCTTTGCCTCATTATCATGGCACTTAGATAGAGGCTCTGGATTTAGAATGAGCCCATAAGCAAGTGATTTGACAGATCTTTGTGAAACATATGAACATTTCTAGAAGTCAAAATTTTGTCATGAATCTCAGGAGCCAAATTTCCGGATTGGTTACAGGTGGACATCTGATGATCATGGGGTCTTTTGTTAGTACATTCAACAATAAGGGTACACAAACCTATGGCCCAACACAAAACTCATGAACAAAAACCATGAAACCCAATCTGATTTTTGGTTTATTTTGATGGGTTGCCCTGGGAATGTTGAGTGCCCCATGAACCTGTCTAATTTCTCACTCCACAGGCCTCTTATCAACCCTTGACATCTTTACCTGACTCATTTCTCTTTTTGAAAGCTGATCATGAAGACAATTTTGGACAAAATTCTCAGACATCAAGAGAGCATTGCTTACATGGCCATGATGCTAGAACAATCCTTGGAGATTTAAAACTCAAATTTGATTATGACTCTTTCCATTCAATCCAATTTCACCCTCAATGACTTGTGCTATTGTTCTTCTTTTTTTTGATTCTAGGTTATGATGAATCCATTGAAATTGCTAATTGAAAACATTGTACAAGTGATCTACATGCTAGAGTTCTTCTTAATCCTAAGAAAAAAGAAAGATCAATGAAATCATAATATTACATTCTCCTTTTTCTGACTCAATTATTTTTGATTCTTTTTGAATTGCATTTCTGATTATTCAGCATTGGTTTTTGCACTCTCCAATTGATGATTTGAAGTAATCAGATTAAATTTTATTACTTTTCCTTTTTGTTTTGTCAGATCAATTGTATTTATACAATTTCACATAATAAAAGTTCTTTTCAAACAAATATGACCTGAGCAGGATCAAACTATTTGAAAGAAGTTGGTTGTAGTGGGTTTGGCTGTGGTTGGGAGGTGATATTTTGGCTGTGTAGCGGTGCTGAGCGTTCAAGTCACATGAGCAAGGTGGGTGTGATGATTGATTGATTGAGCAAACAATTTTTTTTATTGTATGGGTGTTAAGATCTGGCAGATCTCAACCCATTGGAAAAAAACCATCAAAAAAACGCAAGATTTGGATGAGTTTTCATGGGGTTTTTACCAGGGTTTTTCTGATGGATTGAAGGTTTGTGTACCCCTGATATACACCCTAAGAATACAAAAAAAAACTCATATTAAAGTTCTCAACACCAGGAGCAATGTGCATACATTGGTGTATTTTTGCTCTCTTCCTGACCTTTCAAGATTTCTGTATGTCAATATTTACATGCTCTGCCCAGAAAATGTTATATTTTTGGTAGTGTAAAAGGAAGGGGTTGTTATTGAATGATTCAGGATTACATAGCATTACAGCTTACACATGCTCAAACAGCTAATCACACATTTACCTCTACTTGTAAAGATCTTATGAAATTATCTCCAGATCACAAGCCATTTGTTCACATGATCTGTTCATACTAACATCCTTCTGTAGTTCTTTCACATCTGCTGTGCACTTCATTTTTTTGTTCTGACAGAGACCCTTGATTTTGTCTTGTTTCTTTTATAGCTTATCCTTCACAATCACAATCAAGTTCACATAGCTTTAACAACCAATCAGTCTGTCCATATCAACCTTCAAAAGCCTTTTTCAGTCTCTTTTAAGCCCTCTTACAGTCAGTAGCCACAGATTTGACCTTTCTGCTATTTTTCTCTCTGATTACTAATGGCAAGCACTGTCCTACATATGTAAAACATATGTAATCAACCTGTAACAGGTATACAACAACTATCACACACTTCTTTCCTTGCTCAATAAGCTTCCTTATTGACAAGTTAACTTCATCTCTTATAAAGAATCTAGGTGAGTAAGTTTGAGTGAAATAAAACAATCAGACAAAATCTTTGTCCGAAACTGCTGTAAAACAGTAAGTATTCTTATTTTAACCTAATCCATCAATTTTATGTAAATGAAAGTTTTTGAAAAAAGAAAAGTTCAAGAATTACATTCACATTTTTTGTTGTTTTTTTTGAGTTTGCTTAATGGAAAACTTTTTAACATTTTTAAAAAATGAAGAGAAAGAGGAAAAAGGAGAGTGAATGAGAGTGAAATCCATAAAAAAAACAAGTTTTCAAAAAAAGAAAAAAAAGGTAAATTGAGATAACACACAGACGCATACATACACATCAAGGACCGAAGTTATAAACACATCAAATTGGTGAAGGTTTTTGAAGAAAACCTTTCTATGAGAAAAGTATACAAGTGATTAATTAGACTATCAAACCTATGCAAGAGCAGAAAAAAAATCATAATGCTTATAAATCAGAAAAAAATCGGTTTCTTTTGAAAAACCCAAAGAACATTCCGGTGTGTAATTTGTTTTCAAGCATGATCATGTGATGAAGAATCAGTTTGACCAAAGATAGCTTCTCCAATAAATGTACCCATCAGAATCGCCATAAAATAATAAATGTTGTAAGTCATGACTGCCAACTAAGTAAAGAGGAGGGAAATCAACAAGATCCAGGTTAGTATTCATGACTTCTGTTCAGAAGATAGGAAAAATGATCCTTTCGTTATAGATTTAACAAGAAATTCAAACTATGTAAGGGATGGACTGACCATAAGAAGGTATCCTAGACCAGCTTGAATGGTGACGAGACAACATCGAAGCAGATTAGGTTTATTGAAGATCAGTAAGAATCGATGAGTCGGTCTAGAAGTTAACTTTGATCTTGATTCGACTTGTAAAGAAGATCTACTAGGATAATCTAAGAAATCATCATGGGTTTCAGAAGATCTGTTCGGATCTGAATGAAGTTGAGAATCAGAAGGAGGTGATCCAGGAGTGTTGTTGAATTTCGAATGTCCATCTTCCATATTTAATGTATCAGATCGATTGATAAGTTCATCACAATCTTCGTCTAGTTTTGATCTAGACCTAGACCTTCTTCTAGATTGATGATCCAGTGTTGAAAGTTCTTCATGAGTAGGTTTTAAAACTTTTGATTTGATAAATGAGATTGATTTGTAGACGAATGCAAGGATTGATAATCCAAAACAAACTGCAAACGTTGCAGCCGCAGTTTGTGGTTTCCAATCTTGAAACCATATGGGTGAAATCGGTATCGAAGTTGAAAAGGTTGATGACATTGGTCTACATGTGTACAACAAGTTTAGGGTAAGATTTCGTGACCAAACAAACGTCTTCTGGATTACAGATTTCGAGGTTGAAAAGATCATGAAAGAACTTACCCTACTGAACTTGTATTTGATGATTCGTTGAGCATGATGAGATGGGATTTGGTTTTGATTGGTTTAGATTTGTCGGTTTGGTTTGGTTTGAAGAGACGAGTAGATTGATTTGGTGTTATTCGATAAGGTATGTATGTATGTAGTGAGGTTGAGAAGGAAGAGTTGTGAAGTTGATAGATGATCGGTAATTAAATTTATCGAATCGTTCGTGTCCAAAGGGATATGGCTGGATGTGCAGAATGAAGGGATGAGGTAGGGATACGAGCTATATCAAAGTTGATGGTGAAGGTCTTAATTTTGATGAAGGATTGGTGAGTTGAATTGAATTTGTTGATGATGAGGAAGTCAAATTTGAAACTGTCAATCTTCATTCATTCATTTTCCTAGTTCAGTAAAAACACAAGCCAGACAAACTTAAACCAAGGCCTCTTCAACTTCCGAATCCTCAGATTTGATAATTCCTTCAAGGGTACACTTCTCTATCCTGACTCCTCATCAATCTCAGGGTTGAATCAAGTCACGAAGAATTAGGGCGCGTTCACTTAAGCAATTTCTGGTGAGAAATCACATTCTGCAAAATTTAAAGTGTCTATTTGGTGGTGTATGTTTCATTTTTGCATTAAAAATTTTACAGAATGTGATTTCCAGTCAGAAATTCCTTAAGTGAACGCGCCCTTAGCGATTTTTAATCGCTTTATTTTTTCGTTAAAATCAGGATTCGACTCAGATCTCCATAGATACCATTTAATTTTATCATGAAGTGCGATTATTGAACCTTGAAATCTGGATTCCTTGATATTGTTGGTCACCGTAAATAATCGATTGGATTTTCAGACCCGTTTGGCTAATGAAAAACTTGGATTCAGACTTGGATTCAAATTGATGGTCTCAAGACTATATATAATTGCTCGACATGCAAAAGATAACCTCATCACTCAAAAAAAATCTCAGCAAATACAACCACAAGATCGTCGAGGCTGGTTTCTCTAGTTGAACTCGACTAATGGATGTGAAAGTTCCAAACTGTTTGTTGGATTTTGTAAAACTCCTTAGGGCGCGTTCACTTGAAGGAATTTCTGACCAAGAATCACATTCTGTAGAATTTTTAATGCAAAAAAGAAACATGCACCACCAAATAGACACTTTAAATTTTGCAGCATGTGATGTCTCACCAGAGATTGCTTAAGTGAACGCGCCCTAAATGTTCATTACTACTCATGACAGTTAGCTTAACAAAGCCCTGTCTGCGCGGCCACGTCCGCGCGCCTTGCAGAGGGGCTTACGACTAATTGTTGCTTTTTGGCGTGAACACTCCAAGCATTAACACCGCGGGAATCAATAGGTTCGAGACCCGATTGAAGAAAGTTGCGGTGACGGGGTTTGCAACTTTCTTCAATCACGGATCTTGTTCGCATTACGTTCACATTACGTTCACTAACCACCCTTGAGCAAAACCCCCAAAAAGAAATGCATCCTAAACTTGACTCACCTCACCTCACCACTTCATTTCCTCACTCACGCAACTCTCCTACACACGACTTCAACTTCGACATCTCCAATACCTCAATTCCAGCATTGTGTTTTGTGTGGATCTCAATTAAACCTCAGTCACATCTTCAACTGAAATTGAACTCACTCCACCCAGCCACCCAGCCACCTACCACTTTGAATTTCACCTTGATTTCACCTTGCTTAACTACTACATACTTTGCCCATCTACCACCACTTCTACAGCATGTCTATCACTTTTTACCATTGCAGTCAATGGATGTTTTTTACAACATTCATTTCACACTTGTTTTCTTTTTTCATACATTTGACCTTATCATTGTTGACTTTATCATAGTAGATTATAGCCATTGGATGAGCTGATGATAACAGGTTACAGGCAACAAAATCGATTTCCAAGCCTATGAAGATAGCACAATCATCTTGAACTTGAGCAGATAAGTCATTCATTTACTTATGTGATGATTGCAGAAGTGGAAACAGATACAGATGTGAGATTCATTGATGGCAATACAAATTGTGCCTCATGAAAGATAGCCTATCAAAATTTTTGCAAACAATCAAACATGCTTTAAAGACTACTTACAGATATGTCTCTTGGTTAGACTTGGAGTCAACAAAAGTTTCATCAGCACAATGGGCTCCTTGATATTCAGTAGAAACATGAATACAGTGATCAGGATGGGGTGTTTCAAACAAAACGGGCTAAAACAGGCTAAAACTCAAAGAGGGCAAGGGAGGCTAGCAAACGTAATGTGAACGTAATGTGAACGAGATCCGTGATTGAAGAAAGTTGCAAACCCCGTCACTGCAACTTTCTTCAATCAGGTCTGGAACCTATTGATTCCCGCGGTGTAAGTGTTGTTATTTTGTTTTTTGCAATTTGACACTTCCTTCACCAACAAAAATTGCTTTACCCTGCAGGGAAAGTGGTTTATCAATGCTTTCTACATGTCCTGATGGCCTGACATCATGGATACTCTGAGTGATGCGGCCACAAAAGTGGTTTGAAGATTTGCACTAATCCCATCTGCAGTCTTTTGGGTTAATTTTTGACTTTCAGACATAAAGAATTGCTTGAAGACACTTAATGTTACTAGTGGGACATGTGGGCTTCAAAATTAAGCTCGAAAAAAGCATGATGAAGCAGGTTTTCCAGGATGGTGAATAGATTAACATATGTAAAAAAACATTGATGAACCACTTTCCCTGCTGAGTAAAGTGGTGTTTGTTTGTGAGGGAAGCGTTGAAATGCAAAAAACCACTTAACAACACTTAACGCTTGGAGTGTTCACGCCAAAAATCAACTATTATTTGTAAGCCCCTCTGTGAGGCGCACAGATGTGGCTGCGCAGAGAGGGCTTTGTTAAGCTAATCATGAAAGTGTAAAAAATGTGGTATGTTGATCAAACTTTTCCTTTCAAAGCTTTTGAACGTTAATTTAAATCAAGGTCTTTTCCCCAGACATATATTTACTGGAGCACCTAAACTTCATTTTTTCTTCATTATTAGTAAAACATGGTACAAGTTGATAGTGAACTATGTGGACTATCTTTTTGATATATTTTGTCAATCTTATGCATACTTTTATATTTTTTTGATATTGGATATCAATATCATGACAAGAATTTCAAAAGCTTAGCGTATGATTCTCATCGAAAGTTTTATTGCTCTAATCATCTTTCTCTTTTGAACATTACTTTGAAAATTTTAGATACAGTAAAAAAGGAATTGGTCTTGGCACAGGTCACACTGGGGGCGCAGAAAAAAAACATGCCTAGGCGCAAGGCGCACCCCAAAAACTCAAAAAATCGGTGGGCACGCCCAAATTGGGTATGAGTATCCAAACCTAACAAACAAGGCAAGGGGGGCACTGTTAGGTTTGATTCTACCATCAGATATGCTCCCAGGTTTATTATCTGATCGATCTAAAAGTCTCAACAAACAATCAAACAATGAGATTGATGTTGTTGAAGTATCACCAACGGAGAATACTCCACTGTTTTTGGGTCCAGATGAGCTTGATGAGTTTGAACAAGGTGTGAAGCGCTCACAAGAAGAGGACATGTTAGTCAACCCAGCCTTAGATATGGCTTTTGATGACGGGTTTAACAGCTCATTATTTGATCTGACTTTCTTTCAACCACAAACTTTTGAGCAAGTCCAGTCTAATGGTCTCAGTGCACCTGTGATTGGTGCACTGTGAGCTTGGAACCCCAAAGATGTCAATTTTGACTAGTTGTATCTCTCCTGTCATCTTACTTTTTTGTCACCGGTGTTTTTTTGTTTATTACAGTATGTACTTTAAGCTACTTTTAAGATCTGAATTTATCAAAAGACCAGTCTTTCTCAAGTTTGGCTCCACTGGCGCGCCAGGCGCGGTTTTAATCCAAGAGAAGGCACATAGGTGCACCTTCTACAAAAAGGCCGCGCCCCCAGTGTGAGGCACAGGTACAATGGCCAGGAGGGTTTACCCTTGATGTGGCCCTGTGGCATGTATTTCACAATAGTGCCCTAAATCAGGGATTTTTTTAGGAAAAACAGTGGAGTATAGTGGGGTGTGTCAAGACTGTGGTGGTAATCATAAGTTTTGGCCCAAAATCTATGGCCGGCCACAAATCTAAATTTTTCAAGAAACTGAATACAAGTTCAAAATACTTCTTTACACTCCTATTCTGGAAAGGATTTCTCAGCCTGATCAAAGACAATTTTTTGATATCTTCACCATAGAAATTTATATTTTTTGCTTGATTTTACAGACTCATGGGGTCAAAGTTGTGGAGCTACTTATTCAGAGTTCTCCACTGGAGTGCCTCCCTACCCTGTACGGAGAGAAAGTGATAGTAGAAATTGATAACAGAAATGTAAACCACATAAAACTTGATTCTTTGTCTGACAATGGAGGTGGTCGGGAAAAAAAAGACAAAAATTCAAGATAACTGATTTGATAAGTGTGAACTAGATGAAAAAAGTGAAACTGTATTGATTTTATGAAACGGTATAAGTCACATTAAAAGAAATGGAAACAATCAATATTTTTGTGTGTTTTCTGTTGAAGAATTTTTTGAATTGGGGGAAAGAAGGAGCTACAATGACTGGGAGTGAAGGAAAAAATCTGATAGAACAGGCATGAAAAAAGCTCATTGATGGAGCCTGTTGTGGTGCCTTTTTTTTGTTGCAGAGCTTCTTAAAGTAATGAACCATGCTTCCCTTTGCTTGAGTGTCCCTTGACCTTTCACAGATCCCACCAAGTTGATGCTTTGTACAAACTACAAGGAATAGACCCGGCTTGATCTTGCCTTCAGAAACTGGTCTGTTACAGGCTCATTTTGTTTGGCAGCCAACCTGGCCTGCCCCAGCAAAAGAAAAATTCTGTGTGCCACAGCAACAACAAAATTGGCAATTGTCCTAGACTATATTTGCCATCAGGATTTTAAAACTCCTTTCCTTCAACATTTGGGTCCCTTTGCCACCTTTCTGTGCCTCTTTTATATTGCCACCAATCTCTCAAACCCCTTTGATTGGGCCAGTCTGGGTAGCCTGTAAGAACACCTCTCTGAGGCCCAAGAGCATATTTAGAGGGCCAGTTTAGCCAAAGCCCATACCTGGCCAGGCCCACTTGGGTGGTCCTGGGGCCAGGTCCAGGCCTTAAGTCAACTCAGGCACACTTCATCCAAAGTGTGCCAAAGAAACCGACTCTGAAAGAGACCAGAGAATTAGAAATTCTCAACAAGGATAATTTTTGGACCTTCAAAGGTGTTGATCATCTTAACCCAGGTGCCTTAAGCCACAGTTATCTATAGGTTGATACAGTCAGTTGTATTATTTAGTAATATTTGATGTTGCAAACTCATTGCTCACTTGACATTCAGGATAAGGAGTTTAACAAATTATTTCCCAAGGCCTAGTAGAGGGTGAATCAACCATGATTTAATTTCTCTTCTTGGATCAAGAATAATTCAAGGCTGAAAGGTATAAGTTGATCTTCTCAAAGACCAATATGTATTTTAGAACATGTTTTTGATGTATAATGTTCAATAGGCCATGCTTTTGGAAGCCATCTTTTATGCATCATATGTATGTATGTAGATGAGAATGTGAAAGTAGAAGATCTCAAAAGTTTATCAATGAGGGGATCTTGCATTTTGAAGTTGACTCAGGGAAGTCAATTCTGGTCTCCAAGATGTGAATGGGCTCTAGATCTTAAGATTATCGGAATGGGTTTATGTTACACAAGATTGGGAATCCAAAATCCAAAATCTGGGAGAAATAAATTGAGATGGGATTGTTAAAACTTACTAGTATCTTGGTATCCAAAATACCAAATAGAACATGTGTTTGGTGCAAAGCCCAAGTCCTAAGCCAAGGGAATAATATTACTTGGATAAATGAACACACCCTACGGGGTGGCTAGCTGCCTAAATGAAACCTAACCTTACATAGACAAAATAAACAAACACCACTAAAACTGAACAACACACTTAACAAGATATAAATGTACAACAAAGCCACCTTTACTATAACTAAGTTGAAAAGAAACAATAAACAAAAATAACTATGGCTGAAATAATGAAACAAACCATAGAAAAACTTAACAAAATAAATACCAAAATAAAACTCACTTGTTTTTTTTTAAAAAAACACTAAACTAATAACCACCAAAACACAACTAAACTTGATTTTAAATGTAACAATACTAGTTTCAACAAACTGGATAAGAACTTGGATTCAAATAGAAGAACTTTGACAAAGGTGAACACAATGTGAAGTTGGTAAAGAAGGTGATCAACAGAGATGATGTCATATCTTTAGATTGAAAGATAAGATTAGGGTAAACCCAACCCGTCAGTAAATGACCAACATGTAATATATTTTACCAACTATCCCATTCCACTAGGTTAATAACTAGTTACCAACAGCAAGTCTTTGAGGTGGAATTCATGGCTTATCAAATGCACTTGATCAAGACAGCAGGGAGACAAAATTTATGAGCAGCAAAGAGATGATAATTTAAATTATTTGGTCAAAGTGATCATTCCAAACTATTTGATTCCAAAGGTTTTGGTCACTCCATACCGGGCAAATGCTTTGTCTTGTTGAATGGCTGGAGATCACAACTAATTTCATTTTTGGTCAAGATTCCTTCCAAGTGTTCTTTGACATATTACAATAAGAATGCAAAATTTCAACAAGTTTGCTTCCGCAAACAATTCAGTACCATTTCTCATGTTGTGGGCTCCTTCACATTGTGCATATCAGGCTGTGTAATAATTCAAACAGTGCAATGGATGAGATTTTTCAGTGACTGTGCAGGACTTGATGGAGTGATATGAAGTAAAAAGTGCCTATTAGGTCTAAATTCTGATAGGAAGCTGAAAATTATCTGTTTCATTGATGGATGTAATTGCTTCTTGAGCCAAGACTATAGTCTAGAGTCTACATACCACCCACTTTGGGAACCGTTGTGTGACGTGTGCGACCGACTGCGCACCACCAAAAAGTCGCACTGATTTTCGGTCGCATATGTGACCAAAAAACCCAATTCGGTAAACCAAAATGCGACGGAAGACGCACACGCATCTTTGCACATATGTGCAAAAATCGTGCGCATTCTTGAAAACGACTCAAAGCCGTATATTTTCAAATTGATGCAACTGCAACTTTCCATTGCTCTCTCTTTCAACCCATCACTCTCCCTCTTTTTCTTACTTCACCAAATTTCATCCTTCATTACCACCAAAAAAATCAACTTCATAATCCCTGAACTCCATTCACTTCAAATAATGGATCCTCTAAACAAGCTCGATCTTGACATCACCTTTTCAATCTTGATATGGCCATTATTTTGTCTATCGGAACAATCAATATTCTCATTCAAACTTACCATCAACCTTCTTTTATTGATCCCAAGTTCCTTCTTTTCCTTCAAATCACAAATCATTTCTTTTATCTCAACTCCTCGAGTGGTATCCAATCATTTGAGTGTTGGATTGTATTTGTCTCTCGCTTATTACATATTATCGATCTGATTTGAAATGGTCACTTTTAAAGATGTTTTGTTTCTGATGCAATAGATGATAAATGATACAAAAAAGCTTTAAATTTCCTGGAAAATGAATCAAATTGAAAAATCGCATGAGTCTCTTGGGTTTGAATGATTCAAGTCAAAAAGCAATGATGTTGTGGCGTTGAAGGGCGAGAAATAGGGTGATGTCAAGACCATTCGACTGCTTTGGCCATCATCAAAGTCGATGACCTCGTTTACCAGTCAGTGAAAGGCGTTATTGATCTCAATAATGCTGAATTCTGATCACATATCACGTTGTATCTGTTTACCGAACGTTTCCGAAAAGTGGAGTGTTGTGTGTTTTTATACATACACACACGATGAGAAAATTTCTCACCGTGATGCAAAAGTCGCATTAAATTATTAATGCGACTTTTTTTGCTGAAGTGGGTGTACAGTCAATTCCGAGAAGCTTGTCACAAGTTTCTCCCCAATTTGCTTGAGTTTTGCAGGCAAAATTGATCACGCTTTTGTACAGCCGTTTTCAAGATCGTTGATTTTTTCCTGGATATTTCAGTTGTTCAAGTTTTGTCCAAAACTCGAACAAAACCCTTTTGGAAATTCGGGCTTTGACATCTCAGGTGGGGATATTATGACATTTCAACTATTCTCCATTGCTTTCCGTACTATCGCATGCAAGAGGGTGCGAAATCAACATATCTGAAAAGGGTTTTGGACACAGATTTGGACTTTTGCAAAGGATGATGAATGCTTGAAAAAAATCATCGATCTTGAAAACGGCTGTAAATTGACTGTACTTATCATTCATGTCGATGTCCAAAACAACAATCTTGAACATTAGAGTTTGAGCGGAGTTTTGGGTGAACAAACAAATTTTTGATGTCCCCGGTAGACGCAATACTCGGTACTTGTGACTCAGGGTCCGCAGTGATGAACCGTGGGATATCGAGATCCGGGCCTTTGAGAGACATACCCGATGAGGCCCGCAAATTTCACGCCCCAGGTCGATCGATGTGTTCATCCAACTTGCTGAGCTATTGACCGCAGGCAAGAAGATAGATCAAATGGCCAAAAGTAAGATGAACGATAAGCAGCCTGTTGGTTCGGTCGAGTGTATGTTCTATTTACATTATCCTTTGAATTTTATCATCTATGCTGATGAAGTGGATGCTTTGTCTTAGTACTTCGCCTTGTCACAGAGGAACGCAAATCTTTCGGCGTAAAACAACTAGATTATCATAGATACCAGTGCGTACCTTTGATGGCCTTCGGGATTTATAAAGGGTCATAGAAATGAAGCTAACTTTTTTGATCCCTTTCCTCATCGACGGCTTTTCGCTTTGGCTTACTCTATGGAAATCACTTGGTCCTACCTCTGACGAAGTGCACATTGCGCTAAGAAACTTCATGCTATGAGACGAGCTGGGGGAATTCAACAAATTAATAAGAACAAGAAGTTTCTCAAGAAGACCCTCAAACCACCATTTATCTCGTCCCAAAATTTGAAACTACAGTACGTATCACTTTTGTTTCCTCACAGATATGCGGCGGGGGTGTACTTTATTGGGTGTTACGCTACAGGTGTCCTGTTCGCTTGGATTGCTTGATTTTTATATGAATTATATGTTTTGCAGACATATACTCGTCGTTTTATTCGAAGCTGAAAGATGTTGGGCTGCCTCACGAGAGTTGAAACAGACTGTTACCTCCCTACAAACCAAGCGTACGGTCACCGGTCTAGCCTCCGCATCCTCCAACACCCAAACTCGGAAAACAGGTCTCTCGAAGCTACGAAGTCATGCGAGAACCCGTTTATCTCGAGCCGTCAAACACGCAAGCAGCTTACTCTCTTTCAACACCCTCGTTCCATTCGAAACGCATAGTCTAATTGAAGTTCATGTCTACAACCTTCACCTCCAAGGTCTATTGGCTTTTGATCTCGGCAAATGGACCACCGGTCTCGATTGTCTTTCACTTGCAGTCACTCTTCTCAAAGCTCTTTCCAAGCATGCTCACGGTTCTCGACATAAAGACGTTGCTCTCTTTCAAGAGTGGTCGGATAACACCTTACCTCTCGTGCGGTACTGTGCTTACAAGCTGGAGATTTCAACTTTAACGGATATTGAAACTTTCAGTGAGGAGAGGACAGAGGGATGTGAACTCGGTCCTAAGCTGCTTGGGGAACATTGGGAAGTCATAAACATATTCATTGCGGATTCTCAAAAAACGGAAACAAGCGATTCCATCAGCCTCTCCTGGAGGGGTCAATCGATTCCATCCAGATCTCTTGATCTTGTAGAGATTGTCTTACAGGTCCAGGACGCCACCCAAAAGTTGAAGGAAGCGCTTTCTTCTCCTACCAAACCTTCAAAGATCTCTCATCCTAAGGACGTGAAAGTATCCAAACCGTCGACGGGACCTGGTTGTGTGAAGTCTACTAAATCCGTTGGAAGTCGCTCTCGAGCTTTTGACGCCGCTTTGCTGGTTTACACAGATACTGAAGAATCTATCCAAACCCTCGTGAAAGCTTCTCAGCGCGCCTTGGAGTCGAACGAAAGTTTTCAGCATTCCAACGATCAACATATATCTCTGACCTTGAACCATTCAGTAATTGCGTTCCGTTTGTTATCTACACGCTTTCAAAGAGATTTAGACCTTCTAGAAGGTCTCAAGACTAAATTGAAAAGGCGTGAATTGAAGGTTGAGCGTAGACTTTCAAGTAAATCAGGACATCAAACTTTTCAACTCATTGATGCTCTTGTTTCGAATGAAAAAAATCAAAAGCCCACCAACAAAAAAGAGATGCAAAATATCAGGAGAAAAATGATGAATCGACAACGAGCAAACATCTATCCGTCATTGTTGAAACTTTATGACAGTATACTTCTTGACCTTGAGAAGATGAGACAATTGACCATCATTGATGATGATGATAGCCTAGCCTCAATGGTCGACTGTAGACTTGCATTTTATCAAGCCCATCGGTAAGTAGGTTTTGTCTTTCTCAGAGAAGTTCACTATTGACATACGACTTTATGCCATAAAGTTGCTTAATTCAATCTAGATCATATCATTTAATCGAAAAATTCCCAGAAAGCTTTGCATTACACCAAAAATCGATATTGTATTTACGAGAATCTGAGCGCGCATTAAGGGAGGCTGATGTCGATGAAGATATTGAAGATCAAGAAGAAGAGTTAATCTCTCTGATTACAAATCCAGAAGATATTTCCGCCTTGACTCAAATTCAAGAAGAAACAAAACGAGAGATTCTCAGAGACTGGTACGAAGATTGTCAATCCGATCATCATCCGATTCTCCACGAGTTAGAAGCTGAGATCAAGCTTGGCATGCTATCATTGAGCGGAGAGTCGCCTGATCTACAATTTACACAACCTACACCTGGAAACAAACCGGACCAACCAGCGTTAGATGTGGCGTATAACTATGTCATTGATTTTCCACTCGACCAACTGGCCATCAAGGCTTCTCTAAAGCAGCCAGATCATTCAAACTCGCAACGGGCATTTATATCTGCAGCTGCAATTCCTAGTGATGCGATTCCAACTTCTCATGAAGAGGTCGTAGTACCAGCAGAAACCAAAAAGAGCGGTGGTGGTTTATGGAGTTTTTTCACTGGCCGGTGAATTTAAAGTCTTTTATACGCCATGCAAAGTGAAATTCAATTCAATAAAATTATGTCAATGATTTTTCTTTTTTGATTTGTTCTGGCCCGTTGTTGGGCTTACAAGAGGATTGTACCACAACTTGACAGGTGCTGAGTGATTGATAAATCTGAAGTTGAAGGCAGGTCAATTGGTATACTTGTACTACCGCTCATCTTGTAGATGGAGATCGAGAATAATTGGAGACGTTCGAGAAATAACATTCACATGAGGTGATAATGATGACACTAAGGAGACTGTAGAAGGTAGTTGCCTAGAAGTTTTATGCGGACCATTGTTCTCTCTAGCGCAGTAATTCGGATCAATTTCCGTTATATTGAACACATCAAGGATAACTCTAAATTTTGTGAAATTCCAATTGATCACAATCGAGATACAAAGCCTCGGTGGAAAATTTGAGCTTGACAATAAATCTTAAGGCTTCCACAACAAACAGTGCCCAATGCCATATTGATGACACTTGTGTTTGAATCAAAAAATTGTGCCCATCTGTTAAGCTGATCAGATAAAGAACTTGCGCACATAAATGAAGGATATCCTAAATAAATTGCGGAAAACAAATGAAAAAGATCGCGTGAAAGAGGGAGAAGTTAAATTTGAACCATTCGCAGGATATGAATTGTTCGCTTTTTTAGCTGGTGCTCCCCTACTCCAAGAGGATCAGTAAAGATATCGGTCAGTCGGTGATATGCTGCACTTCCACACTCTCTTCTTTTGTGAAATCGGAGATTTGTGCAATAAGATCCACACTGGGAACGACGCGTCCGGTTTTCAAGGAGTAGTGAGTCGAGACATGTACACAAAGGCACGTTATTGCACGAAATAAGAGGCATTTGAATGTACGGAAGAATGCGATTGTAGCTTAACGGGAAGAATATACGTAGGCAATGTGATCACACCGAGTCTCGAAATGCGGCCCCTATAGCCGCGGACTCAGGGGAGCCACACACGCTGGTTGACGTGCGACCCATGTGTCTAGAACGCCGTGAAGCAAGCCGTGTGGAAGACCTCGCGAAATTACCTCAGGGTTGAGAAGCTTTACCAGCGCCTCGCCCGAAGAAAGGAAAAAGAAATGAAGTCTCCCGGAAGCCTCACCGCCACGGGTGCTCGTCAGGTCGGGTGCTTCAACTTGAGGAGATTTTGCCGAACACCCATTGATTCAAAGGTGCTTTGCATTTTTGCATTTCTTTCCGAAGGAATGACAAACTCTCAGCACTCTTCCACCTCATTCTCGAATAGCCTGTTACCATTGACATGATGAGCAGATTTTGAAAATGCTGTTAAACTGTTCAAAGCAGCTAGCACGCGCAAAACATGACATCCTGTTGATAGGAGAATTGCAAACCAAGAACTTTTTTGATGTCAACTTGCGATGGCTTGTGTGCAATCGCCAATCAATTCATGACCTTGATAAAAGACACGTTCTATAATTCAATCTGAATGGAAACGTAGACCTACCTAATTCAAACTCCAATTTCAACAACAACACTGCCCGAGCCTATACAAAGCATCTCTCACTTGGAGACTTTTTTCATCATCCAAGTTTGCTCTCATCAGATCTTTGGCTTCTTATTCACTTTAAACATCATATTTTGATATCATCAATTATCACAGCATGTTCTCTAAAGCTTTGACTTCAATTTTGATGGCCCTTTTTGCGGCTCATCTTATCTCTGCTCATTTCACTTTAGACTTTCCTGCTACAAGGGGGTTTGATGAAGATAAGGAGGCATCATTCTGTGGTGGCTTCAGCGTGTGAGCACTTTATCTCTCTGGATTTGTTCATCCTTCTCGATTTTAATTACTTTTTTGATTTTCTCTCCACTTTAGTCCCACCAACTCATCCGGCCGAACCAAATTCCCTCTCTCAGGTCTAGCGCCGGTTCGCATCACATCACATCATCAAAAAGCTGAAGTGACTATTCTCCTCAGTGTAAAGCCTAACCCAACCAGTCTTTCTGACTTCAAGACCAAAGGCCAGTCGAACTGTTTAATGTCTTACAGTAAGTCGTATTGAATCAATTTGCAGACTTGGAACGAAGTTTTGAGTGATATTTGAGTGATTTGATTGATTTCTGTTATTTGACCTTTCAAAGCCACCATCGTAGGGCAAGGAAAGTTTTGTTTTATGGTTGACGTTTCGAACCTGGCATCTAAAATCACACCCGCACCGGTAGAGGGATCCCTTGCTACCATACAAGTTCTTTTCAACGGTGGTGACGGCATTTTATATCAATGTACCGATGTAGTCTTGACACAAGCGGCGAAGATCCCTAAAAAGGAGCTTTGCTCGACCTTCTAGTTTTTTTCTTTTTTTTCTGTTTTTTCTCTATGGTTGCATTAAGGTTTTCTATTTAAGAACTGGAATTGGTCACTATTTTTCTTGTTATATCATAGTTTGGATGTATCCAATTCGGGATCTTTAGTCTGTGCTGAATAAGAATCCAGCCAAACTCACTCAAACCTCACACAGTTGTGAATCGCCAAAGTAAAACAAACACTACGAAAAAAAAGTGAGCTTGACCTAGGCCGGTATTGAAAGCATCCTGTGGGTTACATGCTAAGATATACAGAATGTGATCCATGTTGGGATTTCACTGCATGGTTTAGTGGATCAAAGGAAGGTATTGGCTTTGTGCAATTGAAGATATTGACAATGGTGCAGCTAGTTAAATTGAAGAGCAAATAAAAGAGATTGAATTCTGAAAAAATATTGATGCCAGTTGGGAATAGGGATGTGGTAGCTGCAATGAAAGATCGATATATGCAAAATTCATAACGACAGTGAAATGACCAGGAAATTACTCCTGCCAACATGGTTTGCGTATCCAAAAAAGTATGTACATAATTGATGACGAGCGCGATTTTGTTGTGAACTTTTGATTGCTTTCGTTGATTTATTTTACATCGCCACTCCATTTGATGAACATACAACATCCGCCGATTGATTTTGAGCTATTTTGAGGTCTTTACAACGCGGCGTAATGGCCTCATGAACATAAACTCAACCAAGTCCCTCGCTGCTTCTCGCACGCTTCGAGCGCACGGTGGGGAATAGCGATGCGGTGACTGCGTATACACACCTGTGGTATACAAACAAGTTGATAACAAGCGCAATTTGATTGTGAACTTTTGATCGCTTTCGTTAATTTATCTTACATTGCCACTGCATTTGATGAACACACAGGAACACACATCATCTGCCAATTTATTTTGAGCTATTTTGAGGCCTTTCAACACGGCGTAATGGCCTCGCCGCCTCATGAACCTGAAGTTTGAAATCAACATTCAACTGGAATCTCACAAACCCTCCAAGTTTGAGGTCGTGCCAAAGTCAGTGGTGGGATTCGGTTAAATATACAGTCAGGAAATCTTTCCACGTAACCTTCCACTTAAATCTTGACTCAGCCTCACAATTTCCCGTAGTTTTCTAAAATCACTCATCACAACATGTTCTCTAAAGCTTTCTCTTTACTTTTTGTGGTTATGGTCTTAGCTAGTCTCACGTCTGCTCATTTCACTTTGGACACTCCTGAAAGTAGATATTTTGATGAAGAGAAGGAAGGCTCATTCTGTGGTGGCTCGTGAGTGGTGGAACCTTCGAACTTGCTCATCTGTCTTGGTCTTACATTATTGTTTCTTTTTCTGATATCTTTACTTTAGTCAACAGCCGGCTGACCACCGAGGATCATTTCCTGTCGCGGGTGCAGCACCCATTTGGATAAATTCACATCACGATCATGCTGAAGTGGCTATCATCCTCAGTTTAAACACTGATCCAAACAAATTTTCGGATTTCAAGACCAATGGAAAGTTTAATTATTTGATGGATTTTAGTAAGCTATCTTAAAAAGTGAATTGAAAAAAAGGTCTTGGTTTTTTAATTTGGTTTATTCCTGTTTAATCTTCAAAGCAAAAATCTCGGGTCAAGATAAATTCTGTTTTTCAGTTGACATTGCATCATCTGCATCTCAAAACGGTTTCCACCTGTGGCTCCTAGAGACTTCGAGTAGTACCCGAAGAAATACATGTAATTCTCAGCGAGCTATACCCGTAGTGTCACTACTAGACACGGAGACTCCATGGACATGTCCACAGACTCCATTTTTCAAGCCTCATCTCCAGAGATCTTTAACCAGACGTGTCTACCTCCTCAGACACGTCTGCTCCCCTATGTGTCTACCTCCTCAGACACGTCTGCTCCCATCCCTCAAGCCCTCACGTGCAGGCTCCGCTCTTAAACTTGGACTTGGTTAAGTTTCCTCCGCTCTCAAGTCTCCAGCTCAGCTAATCTCATGGTCACCAACACATCATGTAACATGATCTTTTCACAATACCAACTCTCAAGACATCAATACTTTCAAAAATCAATACAATTCGAGACCTCGACCTTCCACAAAAACCCTCAATACCTCGTACCCATTGACAATCGATTCCACTCAAGACTTGTCAACTCCACTCATCACCGGCTTTCAACGTTATCAACTCTCACAAGCTCGACTGCAGAGTCATTGATCACATTCTAAAGTAGTACATCCGATCTCAGGATGTACTACTCTATAATGTAATCAATGACTCGGCACTCAGGTCAGGCCGCAAAATACTCTCACAACAATTGCTTAGACCTCAGTAAACAAGTCTACAATACAAACGAACAGAAGGAAGGAGATGAAAGGAGGGGTCAAAGCTGAATGATAGGTGCAGTACTACATCTCTTCCAATGAACCTTCACTTTCACTATCATCAACATCCACAAACATCTCATCAAGCTGACGACCGTCTTCTACATCATCGTCTGCAAGGTGCATGTGTAGCATATTCTGCTCTATTGCCTCTACATCATCAAGGCTCGTGGCTTGAACACTCTTTGCGTTTACGATATGTTCCCAGGTGTCTCTTCCTCGCGTGACCAACCCAACCCACCTTCCAATCAACTCATCGCTTGCTTCTACAGTCGATTTTGTGTATTTCACCGTCCTACGAAGTAAAGAGCTGATATCACGATTCCACCCCATCCACGTTCGACAATGAAGTTGTCGAAGATTGTCATGGAGTCCTGTCAAAACCCCAACATTCACTTCCCACACGTCTCTAGATATACGCTGACCGGGTGAAACCAAGTCAATCAATTCTTTACTGTCTTCAACATTCCATTCTGAGAAGTAAACAAAGTCCAGAGTCAATTCAAAATCAATGAATATAACCATGCTAGAATCAAAAACTCACCACTATTACATCGAGCAAACAATTCATCTAACTTCGCCTCTGTTTCGAGTGCGGCGTGTACCATTTGCTGTGTCTCTCGCCCGATCCGTCGAAGTTCCTCGCTTGCGCTTCGGTATTTGAGAAACGCAGCAATTCCCTCCTTTGTTCTATCATCAACAGCCCATTCCTCCAAAGGATGAGACAGCGAGCCTACGTTCCAAAACGAATCCTCGATATCTAGACGCCTTGCTTCATTCAGTGAAGGACATGTCATTTTGGTGATTGGCCTTGTTGCATTGTAGGTGTCAACTTGTTTAAGATATGAAGCCCACTTCCGCGTGAACAAAAGCTGCTTTTTTGTCATCAATTTTTTAAGACCTTGCTGATTCGATGTACCTAGAAGAAACCAATTCAATGATATTATATGCAATGAATGAAATATGTATTGAATCTGACCCCATCCTCCTCTGTCCCACCGTTTCTGTGCCTCTATCACACCTACTTTGGCCTCGTATAACTTCATCTTAGCAAGTCGGAGACGTATCACAATTCGTGCTCTCGGGCCTGAATGAGGACTTGGTCAGCAAATGCCATGTGTACATATAGTGTCATGACTTGTACCTGTTGCAATTCTGAGATTCTGTAATTCAGGATCTGCTAGCTCCTCTGTCACTTCTTCAATCGCAACCTCCAATGCAACTATCGAAGACGGTAAATTTAAGATTGCCTCACGTTCTGTCTTGGTCTGATGACGCCGACGTTTTCTTCGGATTCGCTTAAGCTTGTTGCTGTAACACAAGCCAAATGAAGATGGGCAAAGTGCTTAAAGGTTTGACCTGAAAAATGAGCAAGGATACGTACTGCGCATGTTTCAACTTATCTTCAAGATCAAGCAGGTTACTAAGTACTTCCTCCAACTTTTTTACGCCACCATCGGCCATAGCCGCGAGCTGACATTGTTTCTGTCTTGCCCATTGGTCGGAGAAATAACCAATCGTGTAAACACTACGCTCAGCTTCGAGTCGTGTGAGAGTGTTGAAGGCAGTATCGTAAGTTCTTTCAGCGGTTGCAAGTTTAGATACTGTGGATCGCACTGAGACAATAAAAAGCAAAACAGGTAATATAAAACAAAGTGAATAACTGAAGTAGAGATACAATTTAAAGTGCTTACCTGCATTTCTTCGTAGAATTTCATTTCGATGCATGGCCTTCAAATTCAGAGAGATCAATTGGTGCTGCTTAGTGGCGTACCGATTTGGAGACACCAACGGAGAGAGGGCAGACCAAATCCTCTCAAGGCCCTCTCCGTCTGACAAACCCCAACCCCTATTGAGTCGAGGGTTATAAAGGAGCTGACAAGACCATTGGTGTACAAATGCATGAAATGCACTTGTTCCAAACTTGAGCTGACGTCGGTCACACTCATCTTTGAAGATCTTATTCTACAAGAAGTTGAACACGTGGTGAGTTTCTTTTCTTTGAGACAGTGATTTTTGACTAAATACCTTCATTATGCTCTTCTCTAAAGTACATCCGATATCGTACAGAATCATAATACTCTTGTTCGGCTTGCCGGTTTCTGCAGTCTTCTTTAGCAATTCGTCGATCATTGCTAATACATAGTACTGCCTGAGATGAAGAAGCTTGATCAGTGAAAGTTGGTAAGTATACGTGAAAGTAGATGCAGACGCTCTTTACCTTTCTCCACTCTCAACCACATTGACAAAGCTTAACACATGGTCGTGTCGACACGCCATGCCTATAAGTCCGGTTTCGTCACACCCTTTCCAGGTACTTCCTCCTCGGTGATCAGCGGCAGCAGTATGCTGAGCCGTACATCGATCCTGGAATGTAATGTCAGTTGATTTTGGATTGTAGAGTTGAAAACGTTCGACAAATACACACTAAGTTCTCCTTTTGCACCTCTTTCTTCGAAAGGCCTGGGTCCCACTTTGCTACAGTTTCAGGGTGAATGAACAGGGAAGGCGTTACAACTGTTTTCTCGTCATACTCGCGACTGGCGGCTTTGTGTCGGCGGTGCTGGAAGTTACCGTCACAACACACAACATAGTCGCTTTCGTCGGGTTCACTGTTCTCTTGAAGTGGCCCAAAGCAACGTGGGCAAATTTGAGCCAGGACTTGAAGAGACGTGAGGAGCAGCGCACGAATGGCTAGCTCCTCTTCTATTCGTAGCATGTGTCTATATGCGTCGATAGCCAAAGACAGGGTTCTTCGCCAAAGACGAGGCTGAAGGCAATAGATAAAGTATATCAGCATTCAGCATTCGAGAGACCTGTTTCAAACATTGATCTCACCTCATTTGTTCCTTCCACCAATATGAGTGGATTGCTTGCATCGAGGTACTCGTCCAATGCCAGTGCAAAGCCCTGAGTACGCACAGTGCAATACTTCCATAGCTGATGATGTAATCTAAGAATCCGGATGGAGTAGGCTGTCTGAGGGAAAACTGGTGATCCACCAATGTACCCCATACGAATCAAACGCACTTGATCCGACGTGCAGCTACAAAATTGGATTTCGACCTGCTTTCTGTCTGGGATCAAAATAATACACACACAACTGATTAGTCTTTTGTGCTTGATGACACACGGATGTACTCACCAATAATGTCAACCAGATCAACTTTTCGATATCTCTGTTCGCCAACACCACATGCACATGGTGCGTTTCGATCGACGTCCCAAGTCTTGCTATTACCCCACTGTGAGGTCGGCTGAGAGCAGTTCATGTATGCAATGAACATCTCTGGCAATACTTTTGTCCAATTAACCGAGTCTCTTAATTGTTTACTTTTGTAATAAGACCCCTTAACATACTCGGTGATTGATGTGTTTGTATGAGGTAGCACTTCTGGATCATCAATGTGGGGGTTTTCGAGATCAGTTTGTTGAAAGTCATTTTGATTGCTTCGATCATCATCATCACTTCCTGAGTTTTCGTGTTGATGGTTGGCAACGTTATCTTCCATCGGTATTGCTGGAAGGTTAGCCAGAGCTCGAGCAATCGCCATGTTGCGTTCTCTCACCAAGGAAGTTTCTTTGGCCTCAATCTCGGCCACAGTTTGAGCTGACTCGGGCAGAGTCATCTTAACGGCTCGTTTCTGTTTAGATGGACCAAGCGGACATTGAACAGAACGGCCCTTTTGAGGCATAGCGGATAGAGATGTATCGAGATAGGAAGGTTAGGAGAAATAAGTGATGATTAGTTGGCATTCCAAAAGAGCTTTCTTAGTCTAATCACTCGATTCACATCTTTTAGCATGGATGATACTTACCTCTTTGAGACTGTTCAATCCCCCAAAGGGGTGCAGTCAGCTGTCACCCCTTTGGGGCTAGATTAGATATTAACTATCTCAGATGTTTTGAGGCTTCAGGCACGTGATATCCGTTATGATCTTGGCTTGAAAGGAGTTTCGATGGAAAGCGCATTATGCAATCGCTTATCATGCAATCGCTTCATGTCTGAAAATTGGTGCACAGAATCCCTGTGTCCACCATCTTTTTTAAAGAAGAGGGCGCATGACTAAGACCTATCTTGTGTGAATTGAGGTAGTAAAATATGTACAAAAAATAGGTGGAATAATGGGTGATTTTGAGTTCTAACGCACACAAACAATATGAAGATGTGGGTTTATGAAGAAAAGTCAAAAACCAAAAGTGTGTCTCTTGTGGAAAAGATCACTTTTCATTATTGACTTTTATTCATAATCCCTCATCTTCTTGTTTTGTTTGTGTGACTTTTGTGGAAGTCACACTGGGAACAGTGCACATCTGAGTACAAATACCACACAAATGTGATGAAGATGAGGGTGTATAAGGAAAACTCAATAAGGAGAAATGTTTATCTTGCAGCCAAGCACATTTTTTATGGTACTGGGTATTCCACTCATTGTATTACAGACCACTTATGATGTGATGAGTGGGCATGTAGTACTATTTTATTCTTTTAAAGCAACACATGCCACAATTAAAAAAAAATCAGTTTTGATGTTATCCCAGAAGTTGAGCTTCCAAAATATTGTTACAATGTGTGGGATTTATATTTATAACAGTTATCACCCAAATCAAAGGTGTATGAACCACTTATGGGCTGATTTGTGGTGCTACGGAACACAATTTGGCATGTTTGTTGAAACACATGCCACAAGTAAAACTTCAACAGTTTTGCTCCAAGCCCAAAAGTTGAAATCAGATTTCATTTTTAGACATTGTTACAATTATATTTACACCTCTAGGGACTCAACACACCCTCACATGAACCACTTATGGCCTTATTAGTGATATTTTGGGCTCTTTTGGCCAAGACGCCCTATAAGGAAAACTTTTTTGTTTGTTGAGATAAACCAAAAAAAAAAGTACCTTTTTTATTTCACTTGCACCTATGGAAAAATCCAAAAATCTCAATTTTTTTTTTGGTCACCTCACCCAGATTTCCACTACAATTTCCTGATCATTGCAAGTTTAACAACATTGGCGGCCATGAATGTAATTGAGATATTTGTGGGTGACAATTATAAAGTCCCCATGAAATTCTTTTTGAAACATTTCTTCATAAACCTTTGTCTTGTGTGACTCTTGTGGTGAAGGAATATGAGAGAAGCAATGTCTGTCAATCAACACATCCCTGCATTTTACCATCAGAATGTCCACAAAAGTCACACAACAAACATGAAGATGGGGTTCAATGACCAATATCCTACAATGAGAATTGTACTATTCTGCAATTTCAACACTTTTCATTATGAGAGTTTCTGCCTAAAATCTTGGCCTCATGATAGTTTTGTAGAGTTTGTACTTACTTGAAATCACACATATTCCTGCTGCTCTGTCACCAAAGGCACATAACCATCATAAAGAGGGCATGTATGAATCAGTCTCATTAAGGAAAGATGTCTTTTCATGAAATTTAAAATATTTTCATTAAAGTTTCTGCCTAAAATCTCATAATTGTAATGGTTCTGCAGATGTTATGCTAACAATTGACTGATTCCTGTTGTTCTGTGACCAAAGCCACACACAAACTGAGGAAGATGAGGGTTTATGAAGCAAAGTCAATAATCAAAAGTGTGTTTTCATCCACTAGCAATGCTTTTAATTCATTACTTTTCTTCATCCACCATCATAATCTTGATATTTGTGTGGCTTTTTTGACCAAATGCGCACATATATATTCAACCTCTGTGACAAAAGGCCACACAAACAGAATGTAGACAACAGTTGAGGCGGCAAAGTATGAAAGCTGTGTTTTAATGCCAGACCAACACATTTAATTATTGACTTTTCTTCATACACCCTCATCTTCATCACTTTTGTGTAGTATTTGTACTCAAAAGTGCAATCATTTTTCCTGCTCTGCCAAATCAATCAATCACAATCACATGTCCATAATGAAAATGTGCATTATTTACTTATCTATACTAGCTACATACAGATTTCCCCATGCCATTCTTAGCGTCATTCTCCATTAGGACTTTGAAGTAATGGAACAATGACTCAATTTTTATATCTGATCCAAGCAATATAGTGGTGTCAATGGTCACATGAAAACACCAGACGCTTTCTGCCTTACTTAATTGGACTTATGTGTAGGTTTCTGCCAAATTTCAAATGTTTCTACCCCAAACATTTGAAATGCTGGCAATAGCGGCTTGTTCAAGCGACTTCATTTCCTTTCTTATCCTTGAGTTAGTTATCTTATCATCCGCTTCCAGCACTTTCCATCTTCTTCAACACCTAACATCCACGCCATGAACACACGGTCAGTCAAGCGGGTCACACGCTCAGCAGCAGGAAATTCTTTCCAACCTCTGGCCTCTACGGCTCAATCTCGTTCCAAGGGTAAATCATCAAAAAAGACCGGAAAAAACTCGACCTCGATTGCTCCACCAACCCCTCGCGCAACACAGCCTTCTTCCCTCACTCGTGGTACTCGACGGCGACAAAACTCCCTCTCAGACTCTGAACAACATGATGAAGATGAACCTTACTTACCAGACTCAATAAATCGGCTTGAATCTGAATCAGAACATCAATCACCTAATAACAATTCCAATTCCCAAAAGCAACACCAGCCAGCTGTTCGCCGGCGTCAAAAACGAGCTCGAACGGGCAAGGTCATCAACTCAAGGCGCGAAAACCTCGATGATGATACCAATCCTGCTGATGAAGACGATCTCGATGAAGAAGACGATTTTGAAGACGATGACGAGCTTCTAGCCCGACTTGAACGCCATGTTGGCAACAGTCCCACTCAACTGAATGATACAAACAACCCTCTTGATCACATCCATTCCTCCAATACTTCCAATATCGACGAGCCTCCAACTCTTGAGGAATATAAGAGTGTCCTCAAGGATTGGTCAATCACACGCATATCAAAAGCTTCGCGTGCTCAGGGACCAAAGAGCAACGCGGTACCATTTTTGATCTTGAAAGAAGCTCAAGCTGTTCAAAAGCTATATAAACAACAGAAGGAGTTGCTTGCATTGATGGGACGAGTCAGTTCCTTTACTTTAAATAAAGCACTGTAAGTAATCTTTCTATTTGCCCTTTTGAAAACAACAATTTGAGACTTTACTTCTCTTTAGTGGCGAGCTCGGACGTACCCGGATCCCAGATGCCTTGCGACTTTGGCAGAAATATTCTTTCAAGGCTCTTGAAGTTAAGAGTAAGAGTAAGTCCATTTCTTTATCTTCATACATACTTGATGCGTTCTTGTAACTCATCCATGCTTAAACCTACCTTGACAATAGTGCCACGGAGAGGACAGAAAGGTGTTTTAGGTGAAATAAACCGCAAGACAGCAAATATCTGGAGAGGTCTATCCGCTATCGAAAAGAAGGTCTTCCAGCCTTCAATATTTTACCATCTATCCGGTCTCCCTAACCCCACCACCAAGTCTGCATCGTCTGATGAAGATTCTGAAGACGAAGGAGTTTTCGATAACTTGACAACTGAAGAGAGGACCAAATTACAGGCGATGTATGATGATACTGTTTTGATCGCAAAGGTAGCAAAAGTTTACGCCAAGGTAGCTGCTGGTATACCTAACGGACCGTCACTTCCCGATTATAACCGGAAGTCCTTGAAGTGTGTTCAAAGTATCCATAATCAGGTATGAAGTTTGCTTTTACCTTATGTGCAATCCAATCGTATTTGATTACATAGCAGGTGCTGATATTGACTTCTGTGTTTGTCCTATAGATCAAAAATGAATCCAACCATATGGACTTTGGCTATTATTTTCTTGTAGCTAGTACGCATGCACCTATGGAGGGCGGATCGGCAGAGCAAGGATGGTCTCGAGAATTTACCTCACACCCCGACATGGAAAAATATGTCAATGAAAAGTGTAACTTTGCAACCATCTTCGCTGCACAAGTTCAAGGACTTTTGGTCGATCAAGCTGTTGCAAATGTGATTGGTAAAAAGATGAAGTCTAACTCTAATGGTGCAAAGAAGGCATCCTCCGCAGATGAGGTGAAAGGAAAGCTCGCAAAGATATTGCGCACCGATATGTGTATGTTCTCCCATCCACTCTCCTTTCTTTTCATCGATCTGAGTACTGATCACTCTTTTCCCTGGCAGGTCAAGTTGGGAGTATCAAGCCCGCTAAGGGGTTCCCTCGGGGTCCAGACCCTGCTGCTATATTGATCAAGAAGGGTTACCCTGTTCGAATGGTCCAGCTCGAAGGATCCACCCTTCCTGCAGATGTGTTGCAGCTAGGTTTCCGGGGTATGAATGGCAAGCGATCGCTATGGCTAGATGATATACAGGCTGGCCTGTTTAAATTTGAGAAGACTGGTGATGCAACAAATGACAATCAGAACGGAAATGAACAGCTTCAGGATGAAGATTCAGATCATGAGGATGAATCAGAGTGGATGGGGCTTGGTGATGATCATTTTGGGGACAAAGAGGCTTGAGATGCTTAAGATGTGGTATTGGTTTTTTCTTTTTTCTTTTTTTGACTCTTCGCTGCTTTTCTCTTTTCACTTTTGTTTATGTTTCTCATTATCGTTTGTTTTTGAGTACTATCGCCGTCACTACCATAGATTTTGTTCACAACTGTTATCATGTTTAAGAACAAATAACTCAAACAACTCCTCAGTATCAAGCTTCAGACCTGTCAAAATGAAATTCAAGTGAAAATTTTGCAAAAATTCCAGTCGGTTCAAATGAAAAAACTGCACTGTTTGATTAATGTTGAGTTTAATGAACAACTTCAAACGCTAGAAGTACAACTACTACTACTAAACTTTGTATTGGACAAGTCCCACTCATCAGATGCATCGTACATCTAAATTCCAGTCGGTTCAAATGAAAAAACTGCACTGTTCGATTAATGTTGAGTTTAATGAACAACTTCAAACGCTAGAAGTACAACTACTACTACTAAACTTTGTATTGGACAAGTCCCACTCATCAGATGCATCGTACATCTAGTCTACTAGGCAATTGAAATAAAAAACTGTGCCCGTTCAATTTACATACGTTGAATCAAATCAATAACATGAGAATACGACTCATATTGATTGTATTGTCCTTTAATGTCCCTCTCACCATGTTTGTACTGGGCAATTCAAATACAATAAGGTACCGTAGGGTACCGTTCAACTAATGCAATGGTGGACTGATGTACAAAATATGTTTGGCGGATGTATTTACAAGGACTAATTTGAATTGTTTGGATGATGTACAAAATGAATTGTTTGACTGACGCTGATTTAAATAAATTCACAAACTTGATTCAGATCAAGTACAGTCAACTCTCTCTAATGGCATACAGTTTGGCGGGCAGTTTTCTTATGCATTTAGAGGAATATGCCTTTACAAATCTTGTTTTGGCTGGCAAATCCCATTTTGGCGGGAAAAAACCCTGTAAAAACCTATGCATTTAGAGGGATTATGCCCATAAGAGGTATGCCTTTATGGAGAGTTGACTGTACTTATTTCCGTTTCAAACTCAATCTGTATTACAGAAGAGCATGATGCCAAAAGACGTATTGAAGTCGAGTAGAGCCGTTGGATGGCCAATCATATCTAGTTATTACAGGAAAGTGTGAAGAACACAGATTATGAGAAATGGTGTTGAAAGCGTTTCGATGGATGACAGATGGTGTTGAAAGTGTTGGGATGGATATTACTACTCACAATGCATACGTGTCCCATCTCACGAAAGAGAGTCTTGACATCCGATTGTTTTGGTAAGCTACGTTGATGTGCTCTATATGGGTTAAAATTACAACTGAAGGCAACTACAGGTCGTTGATAAGTCCCTGTTCAATTCCTAAGCCTCTTGCTAATTTGTGTTTTGAAATAAATTGAGATCATTGAGACCCTTGATGATATTTTGTTACCCAAATTTGTAACTTTCCTATCAAAATGAATCGAAACAGTATCCTTCATAATATCTATGTAAAGCTCAAAAGTGAGTACGAGGCCAAAAGTAAGTTTATTTACATCAAACAAGAGATAATGGGAAGATAAAGGGCACTGTACATAACATCTTTGCATATTTTTGCCTACTGAGAACAAACGACTCAAGTGTTGTTCGTGTGAATTTGAATTTCACAATGTTGAGGTGTGAGATTGTGAAAAGTGAATGGAATGTTGCGAATTGTTGAGAAGGGTATATTTGATTTGGTGATTAGCAGGTGTGAGGTTGATACTGGAGTCAAGTGAGGATTGGAGTTTGGAGTCGAATGAGGAGTCGGATGAGGATTGGCATTTGGAGTTGCCGAGGTTAAGCTTCTTGCCGATGTTGAACGAGTTGGGTGTGAGATGCGGCCATCATAAGCTGAGCCGAGGACTTGAGAGCAAAGCCCTGGAGAGCGGAGCCTGGGCTTGAGGACTTGGGATCGGGGCGTGGGGAATAGGGGAGCAGACGTGTCTGAGGAGATAGACACGTCTGGTTAAAGATCTCTGGAGATGAGGCTTGAAAAATGGAGTCTGTGGACATGTCCATGGAGTCTCCGTGTCTAGTAGTGACACTACACCAGGGGGTAATGGTCCTCGGCCTCGGCCGGTTCCTGTGACGATTTCAAAGGTTTCGTCACCAGAACCACCCAGGAAGGTGTGGAACCGGTTTCGCCGAAACCGTTTCGGACACCGTTCCACGACCGCTTCTGGAACGAGCTGCATCTCGCAACCGTTTGAGAACGGCTGCAGAGGCAGTGGTGAAGCGGTTTGTTCGACACCGATTGCAATCGGTGTCGAACTGTCAATATATGAACAGTGCATCATCAAAACAGAAACTCAGTTTACCAAAGACCTCAAGAGAAAGAAGTTAGCTGGTCAGCTATCTAAATGAACGTTACCAGTTGTCTGTGAAAGCTTGACGGACCTGACTATTAGTATGAAACAAATGAATTTATGATTTAACCTATACAATGGCCAAAAACTTAACATACATGTGAGTGGCATTGATTCAGGATTTCCTTGACTGCTCTCTTCATGAGATCATGAGAACTAGAAAGAATCATGGATATAATCATTGGATTAAGAAAACTAACTGTCCAGTGAGTTTGAATGAACTGAACTCAAGTACTGACGTAGTGATTGGATTTCCTTCCCGTAACTCGAATGTGATCTATAGGATGAATTATCAAGTGTAAAAAGTTTTTAAGATGTTGATCATGATGAGTTATATAATTTTTCATTCATGCCTGACCTTACAAGTTGAACAACTTTGTTCCATTATGAGTGGCTCATCTAACATCCAATCATTCTGATAACGGAATTGTTCCAAAGCTCTTGATAGCGCGATACGTACAAAAAGAAAAAAAAAGATGATATAAAAAAGTCTAGGTCAGTATAAGGTTGGGAGTCAATTAAAACTGATCTGAAAGAAAGTCCAAGAGAGACTTTTCGCAATCGATCTGCTCATTTCTGCCTTTTTTCTAAGATTCTTGATCACAATGAATATTCAAACCTTGAAGAATCTTAGATGGAAATGTGAGGGATAAAACAATTAATAAGATCATCATTATAGAATTACTAAACATAATTGAAAAGGCAAGCTTGAGGATTAGATTAAAGCTCTGTTTTTTTTTTGGTTTTTTGGGATGTAAAGATTTTAGAAGAATTATATACTTTTTCACCAAAATCAGATGACATTCCAAAAACATAATGAAGGTATTGAGGAATTTTAGTTTTATGAATCGGTTGACGATTTGAAAGCATAACAATATGACACACGGGTGCTCCGTGAAAAACCCTGTCGGAACCGGCCCCGCGACAGCCTGTCGCCCGGCATATGTATATATTTACATAGCCAGCGACAGATACACTTTTGGCCAGCGACACTTCAAGTTTTTGTGCGACAGTTGGTTCGGTTTTGCGACATCTCATCCCTGTTCAGCTCATAGGTCGGTGCTGCGACACCTTTGCCCTTTAACCGATCTTGACTTTGATTGTCCAGCTTATTAGATATCACAACTCACCTCAATTTGCGATCTCATTTCACCACGTCCGACTTTGGATTCCACCTCGTAGCCGATCCATCTCCATCTTTCAATGGGAGATCCGCCGAGTAAGTACCTTTGTCATCTACGCTGATTTTAGGATCAATATCACTCATTGACCTCTTTGATTTCTCCCAGAAATCATTTGCACCTGCTTGCAATGTGTGATCAAAACATGCACGGGTCCAGATGGAAAAACCATACAAGGCCAATTTCAGTCACGTAGAACTCAACTGAGTCATCATCAACGCGATATCAGACTACCTCAATTACCTCATCTACCCCAAGCTTCACACTTGACTTCTGCAAGAGACAATAACGATAGCGACTCAGACGGGGGAAAACAAATGTATGATGAGCGGTGAGAAGACACCAGATCGTAGGGGTTTATATACGCAAGCAAGTAGGCTGGTGAGATCTTCAGACGGCTCGGGTATGACAAGACCCTTTGAGATTGACCGCTCATGTGACGAGCTTCCCCTTCAGGAAAATTTGCCATTGTGCTGTGAGAAAATAAATGAAAACAGTGAGGGATGTGAAAGGAAAACCGGACTAACCTGGCCTGAGACGTTTGATCCTTTACGTCACTGATGATTTCAACTGCTGCTGTACTGCTAAAGTCGTTCGAGATTTGGAGTCTGGACTGCTGGAGTGGTTCGAGAAGGATTTGGCGGATCCAGATCAAGAGGTGCGATGAAGAGGGAAGAAGGGCGAAGGAGATGTCGCAGGCAGATCGGAGGGGGAGTGGGGATGAGATGTCGCAAAACCAAACCAGCTGTCGCAGGAAAACTTGAAGTGTCGCTGGCCAAAAGTGTATCTGTCGCTGGCTATGTAAATATATACATATGCCGGGCGACAGGCTGTCGCGGGGCCGGTTCCGACAGGGTTTTTCACGCAGTGTCAACGTGGTCAGCATGGTGTAGCGGCAAGAGGCACAGTTTGGGCCTATGCTCAGTTTTGAACCTGTGTTCAAGTCCCGCTGCTCCATTCCCTTTTTGTAAACTCTACGCCATAACCCAGAACGTTCCAGGGACCGTGTCCAGGGGTCACCGAGGCGGTTTGCTTGCACCGCCAAAAACGGTGATGGGAACCGCATTCGTGCGGTCCCATCTGAAATCGTCTCAGAAACGACGCAAGTAGTTTAAAACCGTGACGGCAAGAAAACGGCTTCGAAAACCGTTTTCTTGCCGTAAGTTTACCCCCTGGTGTACGGGTATAGCTCGCTGAGAATTACATGTATTTCTTCGGGTACTACTCGAAGTGTCTAGGAGCCACAGGTGACGGTTTCCCCGCTCCGAAAGTCGGAGATCTAGTTACCATACAAGTTGAATACAATGGTGGCGACGGCAGCTTATATCAATGTGCTGATGTCGTGTTAGGGGAAGGGACCACTGCTACTGATGGTTGCTTGAGCCAATGAAGTTTTCCACTCTTATTTTCTCTGATGAAATTATCATGGGTTTTTCTTACAGCAATGAAATCTGTCAAATCTTAAAGCAGCCATCATCTTCTCATTCATCTGGCTTAAGCGTCTTTAATTGTAACTTTTAAATGAGCCGTTATATGAGTATCGGACCAAACCGCAAAAGGCATGCCATTGCCACACTACGTCTTGTCAAAGCTATGGCAATGCAAGGAAGTAGCAAATCATCACACCTAATCATTTCTGAGGCATCAAGCTACAAAACGCCTACAGTCGCGTTGCCCAAAGACCCTCACACGCAAACCCTCACACGCAATATGAGGATCCATCGGCGCAGCGTGTTTGCTTTAATGGCTCCAGTCGGGTTATCTGTTTTATATACACACATCCAGCACGTCCCATAAGTCTTATCCCGAATCCCTCACTAACCTTTTTGAGTTATTGCGGCAAAATTACACCAGCACTAATGAATTGAATGGTAAGTAGAATTGACATCACATGATTCTAATTGATTTCATGAAAAGCCATGATTCCTCAACCATTACTCTATCACCAAGCTTCACAGTCGTGGATCCTGGGCAAAGATTAATGGAACATCTTTCGAAAACTCTCTAGGGTGAATTGTATTTAGGCTGGTGTTGAAAGTGGCCAGTGGATTAAATGCAAATATGTATATGCAGTAATACTCAATGTGATCTATGTGGGGAATTCAACGCGGTGGATCAAAGGAAAGTATTGGGGCACCAGCCTGAGCTTGACTGCATGAGTTCAGCTGCTTGGTATTCGAGCTGGAGCCCATAGGAGCTCGGGCAAAAAGATAGGCCAGATAGCAACCAAAGACAGCACCCGACAATGGCCATCATCTTGCCTCAAGTTTCCCTATGTACCGGCTCCCGGTGCTGGGTCTCTCTTGTAGTCACTGAGAAAGCAGTTTTCCCCGTCAGACAACACGATACATCACACTGATTTGCCTGATTCTCAACATTTCCACTCAACCTCTCACTTGAATCTTATCAAAACTCTGACACTTTGATTCAACCAATCTCAAAATTTCACGTAGTGTTTTAACATCACTCATCACATCATGTTCTCTAAGGCTTTGCCTTCACTTTTGGTGGCTCTGGTCTTAGCTAGTCTTACGTCGGCCCATTTCACTCTGAACTCACCTAAAAGTCGAATAATAGATGAAGCCAAGGAAACTTCTTTCTGTGGTGGCGTGTGAGTACAAAATTTTCTCATTTTACTTTGCTGATCCTGCTTGGTCTTAAAAGGTTTTGTTACTTTTCTCTCCATCTTAGTCCGACTCTTACTGAGTCTGAGCGAACGGATTTTCCCCTCTCGGCTCCAGCAACCGTTAGCATAACCTCGTATAACGATACTGCCCATGTGGCTATCATCCTCAGTGTAGAACGTGACCCCACCGAGCTTTCACATTTCAAAACCAAGGGCAAGTTCAATTATCTAATGAATTTTGGTAAGCTATCCTAAAATCATTATTTCAACAAAAGGTTTTAATTCATTGAGGGTTTTTTTTCGAATCTTTCAAGTCGAAATCAAAGGCCAAGAAACTTTCACTTTTACAGTTAACATTTCACACTTGAAAGATCGATTCCAAAAGTCACCTCTGAAAGCCGGAGATTATGCTACGATCCAAGTTGAATACAATGGCGGTGGTGAGCCATTATACCAATGTGCTGATGTAATCTTAGTCTAAGACCCCACTTCTGATCACGAGGCTCCTATCAGATAATGAATTTTTTAAACTCTTGTTCTCTGCGATGAAATCATCGTGAAGTTTTCTTGTAGCAACAGAATCTGTTAAATTTATAAGTTGTCATTATCTTCTCTGTCATCTGGCTTAAGCATTTTCAACTGTAACGTCAAGTCAATACCATTTGTTTATTATAAGCACCAAACAAAACCTCCTTTGGAATCCATGTATGTATGTCTTAAGACAAGAGATGGTCAAGATAGCGTTGAAAACACTTATGAAGTATGGGTTAAATCAGTAAAGCCTGTTTCATAAATCTTATTCAGCATCCATCACCATTTTGTGAACCATTTTGTGAGTCGTTCAGGCAAATTGGAGAAGTTAAATTGATATGACTATTTCACCATATAAACCCTACAATTCTATAAAAACTCCTGATTCCTCAACCATGACTCTATCACCATAAACATCATAACTTATTCAATAATACCTCAAATGATAAATACTCATCTTACTGAAAATTGAACTACCCAAAAAATCATTGAACCAATTAAATCATTCAAAAAGTCAGCTTTTTTCAAAACATCTTTCATACAATTTCAAATCAATCAGAAAACAAAAAAAATCTCTAAATGATATTCTGCATATTCTGTCACTAGGTTTTCTTATTTGCCATAAATCATGACTGTTTTTTCCTTGGAAGATTCTTTTTAATATACCTCTGTTATGATCTTTTTAAATTTCAAAACTTGGTCGATCATTAAACAAAATTCAAAAACAGATAAAAGATAAATAAAAAATTGTGTAAGCACAGAAAGAAAGATTCATATATATATATATATATATATATAACTTACCTGAAAGAAATCACACTCTAAGATCCAATAGAAACCTATCCGATTCAAACAGTTCACGTATCTTTATTAACTTCAACCGATTTCTCCCACGGAATCACAGGAGGATGACGATGAGTTAAAGGTAGAGGAGTATAAGGTGCTAATCTAGCATGTCCAGAATAAGGTTTAGGTGTTCTTCCATAATAAGGTTCAGGGATGTCTATTATTTTTTTCGAGTACCATGAAGGAAAAAGGAAAACCGATCAGAAAAACAAAAAGGCAAGGAAAACTTTTTTTGTTGGCTAAAAAAACTGAAAATGGGCTCAACTGAGATGATTTTTGTAAATGTTAGAAATCAACTTCGATTCTTGTTCTCTCCATTTACAAGTCCAACTTATAACTCCAGAAGCTTGCATGTTAGTACTCTGAATCCAATCACGAGCTGAGAAACCTAATCGATTAAGTTCAGGTAAAGAATCCAGTTTAGAAGATTGTTTAAAAAGTAATAAAGTATAACGATGTAGTGATGATCCACGAGCTGGATGTGGTGGTATATAAGAAAGTTGAGTCAGATTTGTTTCGTCAATGGCTAATTCTGGACTTGAGGTTGCAGAAATGGGTAGGTTCGGTCTAGAAAGATTTATTTGATCAAAGATAAAGTCATGAGTCAGATTGTTGATATTCATTGTTTTGATAATAGGTAGGTAGGTGATATTGAAAGAAGTAAAAGATGTACACGAGCCAATGAAGATATGGGGTGAATGATTGATTAGATGGATCGGGTACATCTTTCGGTAAGTTGAAAGGACGAATAAGTCAGTCAAAACTGTTGTATTGATAAAATTCGAATTTTCGTAAGTACCTGGATCAACCATCATTAGGGTATACAATTCTCCCTCTGGATGGAAAACTTGAACACGGATTGTGGGAGGTGTAATGGACTAGATTGGTGATTAAGAAGCGGTTGCATGCTTTAGTTCATGAATTACTGATCGGAGGTTCATCTTCCACAAGGAATCCAACTCACTTTTGAAGCACTTATAAAGGTACCAACACTGATCGGAGTATTCTGGAAATTGGCACGAAGATCTGCAGTAGGAGCAATTGCAGGTAAGATATCAGGAAAGACACGTAGTCGATGGACGGTTTCCATCTATGTATATTGAAAGAACGAACGAGAATCAAATCAAAGTCAGCTTCGAGGGAAGCGCAAGGAAATTATGATCATGGTAAGCTACGAGACATCATACTTACCAATCGTCCTAATCTACCAGCTTCTCTCCATTCCTTTTCTTTCAGATGACGATAGACAGCTTTAGACATATCACCAAGTCCAGCTTTATGACGAACTCTAACATTTACATCATTAATTTGACTTTCAATCTCAAGTTTTGTGATGGTTTTTTTAAGATTTTCATCATTTGGGTTTTCTTTAAGTTTTAATTGTAGTTCTCCTAGTTTTAATTCTAGTTGTTTTGAATTTTGTTTTAAGAAAGCTATTGCTTCATCATATGCTGGAATCACACCAGGTCTGACGATCGGTTGTCTTGGTGTTCTGAGAGGTAGATTCGTTGGAGGTTCTTGAGGTAAGGTTGATGGGCCGACATTATTTGAGGTTGTGGAATAGTTGAAGTTGATTCTTTTTGATTGGTTCCTAAGATAGCTTGAATATGATATCAAACATCGATTGAAATGGTTTGTTGAAGTCATCTTGAGATATATCATGAGAATGCTGAGCAAGAATGGTCACTCCAACTTTTTCTGTTTACCATCTCGGCCAAACAGAGCACTACGTATAAGGCTATTTTACCGCCGTGATATGTCTATAGGGAGTTTTCGACGAGCTGCGCACCCGGTTAAAACATAATCCCGCAGCCTGGAATATCCTAATATCCTATCAAGCTCACTAGAACTTTTTCATGCTGAAGCTTTCTCAAACACCAACCAACATCAGCACCAAGTTTTCCATACAACATCATGTCAACCGATATAATTCCTCAAACTACTTCAACACTAGAACCATCAACAAACCCCTCAAAACAGTCCAAATCATGGGCAAAACGACAAGTAGAGAGACAAAAGATGGAAACAGTTAAAACTTTAGAAAGACAAATCAAATCAGAATTAGAATCCGAAGCAGAAAGAAAAAAAGAAGCCAATCGGATTAGAAAATTAAAAGTAGCCGAAAAAGAAAGATTAGAAAAACTTAGTCTGAAACTTAGTCAAAAGAAATTGGCTAGAATGAAAAAACGACTTGGTAGAACTAAGAAAGTGTCTGGTTGATTTAAGTTCTTTTGATCTTTCTTTTGAAGATTGAAATGCTTGAATTAAAGAATTCATCACGTACGTTTGTCTTCTTCTTCTTTTCAAAATATATGTTGGTCTTTGAATGCGGTTTTTTCTAACAGGTTGGTTCATTTCCTTTTTACATCAAATCCTTCAGTGTACAATCCCGCTTGCTTGCATTAAAACGAAACCTTCGATAGACGATCTTTATTCCTCGACTTACGAGCTACATGAGCATGTCAAACATCAAACATCTACTTCACTTGAGATTTTTAATCAGTCTTGAGACATTCTTTCATTCTTTCCTCGATCAAAATGTTGCTCAAACCAAAGTCAATTACGTCTATATTCGGGTTATGTAGTTTGATGCGAACACACGCGTCTCATATTTTCAACAAAACGGTGTAAGGCTACAGCCTGGCTCAGTAGCACAAAGTTGATCTTCTCGGTATTCTTCTGGTCTGACTGAGCTCCTTAAAATTAGTGTCATTATGGGGTTCCTAGAATTTACTATTTAATTTGAGTACTGGGTAATTTGTGAGATTTTTGTCAAGAGATTTTCACGCCATGTTACATTTTTGTCTCGATTTGGTTGGCAAAATATATGTTACATAGGATATTTGGATTGAACAACAAGATATTAATCAAGTTTACTGAAAAAAATACAAAAGTTTGACCAGCACTTGAAAAAAGGTATTTACACGATAATTTGAATTTAACTGTAGTACCATGAAATCAATTGGGAATAAGATGATGAGAAATCCATGAGGTCACGTTGAGAATAATTCGCCTCAATGTGCGCCTCGAGAGTCGACAGCCATAATGACCACCGACACCACTCCGAGTGGCAGTGCGTAACGTTATCATTATGCTCTTGCAAGATCTTCCGGTGGCTTGGGCATCTTGGGCGGTGCTTGTCGTTTTTGAAGCGTAGATTCAATCTGATTATCGAGAAAACAGGACGTGATCAACGACATTGACTAGAAACCAATGAGATTTGATAAAAGCAGAACTAGAACAAAAAACTTACGGGAGTAGATAGGTATGATGGTGGGATTCCATCTCTCTTATTCATACCATCGCCCTGCGGAGCTGGTGCTCCGTTACAGACAGAAACAACAAGTATCAAGAGCGAAGCAGATTTGACGAAACCGAGTATGAGAGGATAAAGATTGATCATGCGGTTAACTCCCTACAGGTCGAATCAAATTCAGAGGAATCCTCAAGGATTGATTCAGAGTATCAGGTAAGAAGCGTGACGCTTCTGATCTGTGATCGAACACTAGCGTATATGCTTACATGATTGTTACCGCATTGCATCACACCAGTCTGGATGAGCATTTTGTCACGCTCAGGAAGCCAACACACAAAGGTTATGGTGTTATCATCATCAAGCAGCATCTTTTTCTTCGTTGCTATTTGTCAAAAATTTCTACCAAACCCAAAGATCATTGAGATGTTCAGCTTTCTGCGAGTGAGCCAGGCTGTAGCATTTTGAACGAAAATGTCGAATATGATGTGCGAAAGGAAATAAGCTGGTCCTCCGAACCCTAGTCAACTTCAAAAACCAAAAAAGTCAATGAGAAGATTTAACTTTTCTACAATTTGAACGCAGTCCAATTGATGGTCCTGAAGGTCCACAGTCAAAAGTGATTTTTATTGTGGTTTCATCAGATTTCATAGTCGATGAAATGCAAACATCCCAGAGAGTCTTCTGTTTTGGAAGTTTTGATTTTGCTTCGACTCTTGAGATGAACACTTGCAAACCATTTCCGCTTCATGATTACAGCCTCGCTGCTCCTCCAAAGACACGTCCGATGTATTGGCATGTTAGGTTTAAACCAGACTGCACTTTATGCCAGTAACTCGATCTCGGAAAGCTGTGGTCATTGTCAGATTAATTTCGACGTTATGAATGACGGTTCACTTTGACTTCCCACCGCGTGTCTTGCCGTGAGCAACCTGATACACAGTTGGTCAGTCTTCAAACACATAGTGATGGGGCTCAGGATATAGACGTATCTTTGGCTGAGGAGGGCTTTGAAAACAAGGCTGGCTTGGTTTTTTTGAAATCAACATGATCTGATCTATCGCGGTCAGCCTCGCTGGAGTTAGTCAGTCATTCATTTCTCTTAACTTGGCACGAACTGAGGAGCAGTTTCGCGCGGCGACTTTAATCAATTATGGTATCCTTCTGAAGCTACTGCAACCTCAACCTTTCGGGCTGGTACCTCTTCAGCGCACATCCACGCTCATTCAGGACTATAAAACAGCCTCTTCCGAACGCCGTAGAATGTTCATCATCCGCTCCAACCACATAGTTTTCTTTCATCATCAATTATATACTTGTACAAATAAATATTTCAAGCAAAACCTCTTCTCAGTATATATATTTTTTTCGACTGGTCTTAAAAAAGTGTCAATAAACCCATTTATCTTGGATCATGTTCGGTTTCGCCAAATTTGCTTCGCTCTTGATACTCGTTGTTTCTGTCTGTAACGGTGCACCAGCTCTACCGGGCGATGGTATGACCAAGAGAGATGGAATCCCTTCAACATACCGATCTACTCCCGTAAGTTCTTTTTTCGAGTTCTGCTCTTATCAAATTTCAGTGGTTCCTAGTCAATGTCGTTGATCACGTCCCGTTTCCTCGATGATCAGATTGAACCTGCGCTTCAAAAACGACAAGGACAGAACAGGAATTCAAATAATAACAATAATAGTTATAGGCCAGACCAGATCAAGATCGACCCCCCCAAGTACGACCCGCCCAAGATCGAACCGCCCAGGATCGAAACGCCCAAGAACCCCAAGCCACCGGGTGGAGGCAATGGAATGCCAAAGTTCCCATGATAACCTACTTGGTATGGTGTCGGTGGTAATTCTGGCTGTTGAGACGCATATTGAGGCGAACCCTATCAATTATTCCCAACGTGACCTCATGAATTTCCCATCATCTTCTCACTACCTCTATATGTCATGATACCATATTTAGATGCACTTTATTGTATAAATAGCTTCTCTTTTAAGTGCTGGTCAAACTTTTCTATTATTTTAGATTATCTTACTGAGATCGATCAATATTATGTTGTACAATCCCAACATCCTATGTAACATATTTTCTTCACTACCCAAGTTGAGACAAAAAAAGCAACATATAGCATGAAACTTTCTTGACTCAAATCTCATGAACTTCATATCGAAAACATACCAGTAAATTTTGACCTCTCCCCAAGCCTATAATCTCGAGTTTTTCAATCTGGGATACTGTCGTTCTCGAAAAGCTTAGAACATCTTTGAGACCTCCTTGCCTATTTGTGCCCTTGACACCCCTTATCGTTAGCATGGGCATCCAATTCCCCTTTCTGCCTCCAAGGCAGTACATGTAGTATGATTTTGATATATGATCAGTTGAATTTTCGGTGTTTTCCCAAATTCGGTGTTTTTCCAAATCAAAATTATTATGACCCAGCAACATTTTTATTATTGACACATATCTGGAACTCCATAACCACATTATCTCTCACAGAGTCCAGGTAGACGAAATAAACATTGAGATTATCAAGTATGTGTTATTGTGCCAGCCCTTAGACCTTTTCAAAAAAAAGCTAGGATGCGCGTGATTGAACCAAACTGAATAAACCAAACAAAAGCAAGTAAGCTGACTTCGCTAACCAACTTCCCAAATCAAAGAAGTGAAAAGATCTTTTTCATTACGATTTTATAGCAAGTGCTACGACCAGAAGTGATTCATTTTGAGATTTGAATACATTTTTCAGTGACTGAAATCGGACCACTTCATGAGAGAATCATCTCTTATGAAAGTTTCGATTCTATTAGTCATCCGACCTCTGCGAGCTATAGTCATTCTCAGATGGATTTCGCCGTTACTGATAATGGCTCACTTTGATCATTTTTCCGTGAGCAATCTATTAGTCATGCATTGCCTTGTGATGTTGTCCAGTCGTCAAACACACGTGAATAGAGCTCATGAATCAGATCCAGGCGTATCTCAGGCTGAGGAGGACTTTGAAGACAATTCAAACGAGATACATATGTACCTTCTCCTTTATCATCATCATCGGTTGCTTCGCTTCAGTCGGATATTATCTATCTCAACTTGACAGGGACTGAAGAGCTATTTCCGCGCGCCGGCTTCAATGAAGGTTATTCCGCCAAAGCCACTGCACCCTTGACCCTTCGAGCTGAAGCATTCGGAGCGCACATTCAAGCTAGATTTCGGGACTATAAAACAGCCTCTTCCGAGCACATTTGAGGGCTCTTCATCCTCTCCTACTACAAAGTTTCCTCTAGGCAAATCGACTGTACATAACCTCGTATACAACTTTTCAGCAAAACTTTTTCTCATCATCTTTTTCTCAACTGGTTTTAAAACCCCTTCAAGGAACTTAACTTCATACATTATGGTCGGCTTCAACAAATTTTCTTCTCTCTTGATTCTCCTTGTTTCTGTCTGTAACGGAGCGCCAACTACGAAGGGCGATGATCTGAACAAGAGAGATCTGACATCTGAATCTGCTTTGGTAAATGTGTTTTTCGAGTTCTGTTATTAACGTGTATGACTTATTTCGAGTCATTGTCATTAATCATGTCCTGTTTCTTTATGATTTTGATCAGACTCTATCCGCCCACCAAAAACGACAAGGCTCTGGTAATGGACCGCCTAATATGCCAACGATGCCCAAAATGGGAGATATGAGGATTCCAGACATGAAGATGCCAGAAATGAAGATGCCGGACATGAAGATGCCGGACATGAAGATGCCAAACATGCCTAACATGAAGATGCCAAGCATGCCAAACATGCCAAACATGCCAAACATGTCCAGTATGCCTGGTATTCCAAGCACGGGCAATACTCCCTCACCCGATACTCCAAGCACGTAGGAATGGTAACCTACTCGATATGGCAGTGGTGGTAATGTGACTGGCATGCGGTGCACATTGAGGAAATCAACAACAATCATTCTGAGAATGTTCTTATGAATATCTCGTCATCTTGTTTCCTATTCCTGTCATCATACTATATTTAGGTCAAAATTATTGTATAGCAAAATTGTCTTCTCAAAATTGTCTTCTCAATTTCTGGTCAAACTAAATCATCAAACTTGCTCTGGATCATGTCGTACACTGCAGAAAGTTTATGAAGTTTGACATTTTCCTACACAATCAAAATTCAGAGAAAAACCCAATAGAATATGAAAGTTTCTTGACATAAACTTGAGAAGCCCTATAGTATAAATCTGATTCAAAACAGTTCAAAGCCTCCTATGAAGCACCATTGTCATGGGGTAAAGTTGGGGCTATATATCCATCTACCAGAATCACCATTGTGGTCACTCAAATTTGACAGGTAGATCTTGGCTTTCGTGAAATTCAAAATCTCAATTTTCTTGGCAAAAAACAACCAAGATGCAGCTCAGATCTTTGTAGCTTTGAGGACCTATATATAATATAATGTAGGGCCTACCTTTTTTCTTGGCAACCCTGACACCCACATTGTCCATAGATCATATTTGAGCCCCTGTATAATTTATTACATGTTGCAACCTCTGTCTGATGCAGGATTATATGCTATGGTTAAAGTAGGCAGCCAGTAACAGGCATCATGAAATCACACTTTCTCCGGTTGGTGACTAGGTTTTGCAATCCTAAAGAGTTAGGTTTAAAGGTAGATTCTGCCTTTTGGCTTTTAGTACTGTAATCATTTACCTGTGTAACTGGATTCATTCTAAAAGATATGGGAAATTCTAGGAACACAGTCTAAGTTGAGGAAAAATAAATGTGTTTAGAGTCTCATCCTGGGTCTGACAAAGATGACAATATATCCTGTTCATAATGGGAAATAAGTACCAAAGTTGGAGAAACACAAATGTGTTCAAAGTATTATCTTGGGGCTGATACAAATAACAACTAACACTAAGATAAAATAAAATAGGTCAGACAAGGTCACAAAGATCAAGAATCAAGAACAAAGAAAATAGTTCACTGACAGTCTTTTTTTCATAGACAAGTAAGATAATACTGATGTAGAACAGATTGTTGTTGCATATATGTGTGTAAGAAGATTAGGGTAAATCTCCCACAAGCATAATCTAGGAGAAGGCACATGTATGCTTGAAGTTGTGTCAAAATATATACTGTGGATTCCAAGCGATGATCTCAATTCTACATGGTCCGTAGCAGTCGAACAGTGTAGGAATATAATCACTTCTTATCATTTTAACAGGTTTATAGAGGTTTATAGAGATATGAGCCATGACACTGATCTCGAGACCTCTGAGGAGCGGAAGGAAACAACACTGATCTTGAAGACACTACCAGACAGAGAGACATACGTAACATGAGGTTTTCTATACCACCAGGAAGCCGAAGACACTAATAGCACAAATTGAAAGGGAGATGTACAGGGATCCAGCCCATTGTAATGCTTTTTCGCTTCATTCACAGGGGTTGGCGTGAAGTTGAAAAAAACGTCGGAGGGAAAAAGAGTGAAACTAGGCATACAGATTGATGGAGAGAAAGGTGACTGACTTATCATAGAATTTGTTACTACTGATTATCAAAAAAAGAAACAGTCTCTTAGTCATTCAAGCTTTATTTTTCATGATCTTTATTGAAGAAACTCATTGCTAAAATCACCTCCAAAGAGTCCAGTCTGTCATCTACTTTCTTCTCCAATAAGCGACTAATCACTTCAGCGCATTCGATAGATATTGATTCAGGAAATTTAACCTTTTCGAACTGGATGCTTTCTGCCAAGGTCGTACTACCAACTGCCAAACACGAAAAAGAAGATTAACATTGTGGATGATCCAAAGAGGCAAATAATAAGAGATCGTGGAAAAGGAGACATACGTTTTTTGAAAGGCTTTTCGCCAGTGACCATTTCAAACATCATAACGCCAAACGCCCACCAATCTATTGATTTTGTGTAATTTTCCCTGCGAATCATCTCTGGCGCTTGAGCATATTTTGTTCCACAGTATCCAGATGCAGATCCGGAGGTAACTTTTATCGCAAGTCCAAAATCGGCCAATTTGATTTGATCATCGGAAGTTAAAAGCACATTAGCAAGTTTGACGTCTCGATGAATGATATGTTTTCCATGAAGATATTCGAGTGCTTTTGCTATGTTCAATGCATAGACTCTCGCTTCATCCTCAGAGAATACCTTTTTATCGAGCTTTTCACGAAGAGTGCCACCGTCTACTAACTCGAGTACAAGGTGGAATATGACATCCTTGAGGTAACATCCAAAGTACTCGGTTATGCCAGGGTGCCTAGCCTCTTTTAACAAGTCAATTTCATTCATGATCACTGATTCTTGATTCGTCCCTTGGAAGCTATATTGGGGGATTTTCTTGATGGCATAGACACGTTGATCAGAATTACATTTCGCTCTGCAAACCGAGCCAGACGCACCAAAACCGAGGGTTTCGAAGAGCTGGAACTCACCAAGTGATATATCTTCGTGGGAGGAAGTGGTGTCTTCGGAAGGTGGATGATTGGGATCAGAACTGGAGAGCTTATTGGGTTGAGATTTTTCAGCAGTTTCTACGATAATTGTCTTCGAAGACATGATGATTTACAGACTAATATGTTGTGCTGGAGGGGTGAAGCGTTAATTTCAGACAGAAAAGGTGATCAAATTGGTGGGTCGGGGTGATGTGTGAGATTGAAGGATATGTGAAGTATAGGTTTAGACTCGACAGGAATACGTAGAGAGGGTGGCTTTATATACCACAACAGCTGATGATGCTGAGCAAGAGCTCAGCAAAAAATCTTGAAGCTGAGGACTGGCATATTAAAATGCGAAAGTATTTAATGCCATCTTCGAGTGTTTTCTGATTGGTGATGGGGGGGAGTGGCCGTACCGTCATTATTATGAGGCAATTTGCAATACATCAGAGTATCCCCAAATTCCTCTTTGTGGTAGCATTTGATCATATACCTGAACATTATCAAAAGCAATCTCCTCATCACGCCCTTTATATTTACCAATGCCTTGTTTTGGGACGGTGACAGCTTGAACAGTAATCATGGGCTGATCAGCCAAATTTAGGTCTTCTGAGGACGTTGATGCTTTTGAAGATAGCAAAAGCCTGTTAAGCTCTATGCAAGCTTTATGTGTTTTATGCGTCGGTTCTCAGTTCTCCTACGAAGCCCAGCATTTCCTCTTCTTCTGGTCAGCTCAGGGATCTCAGAGTAGCTGTTACCAATCAATATTGGTCGAGGTAGTTGTTGTGAAGTCAACATCATCATATTGGAACAACCATTTTAAAACAAGACGATTTGATGCTAAATGGTTATCTGTCGGATCAAGATATACAACTTGATACGAAGAGCCATAATAGTGGCAACTTCTAAGAAAGAAGGCAGGCAGGTTCAAACTAACATGGACAATTGTCATATCTCCCTGTGATGTACATCTTTCGGTTCTGCCAGCTTTGACAGTTTTGATGGTTGTCCCTGCAGCCTTTCTGAATATGACGAAGAAGAGAAGGATTGCTTCGATGGGCTTGACAGTCTTACGCATACATGTTACATGCTTTCAATGGGTTGGTTCTCAGCTCTTGTACGAAGTTGAACCAATGCTCGCTATTCTCCTGTTCGGCGCAAGGACCACAGAGGGCTTGTGACTCGTCAACACTGGTGGAGGTGTGCTGATGATGGATCCTTGTCATCATGCTGTACTGTTCCATGGACACAATCATCGTGAAAAGCCCAGACAGAAATGAGCCACATCCATCCATGTCTCTTGCTGACGCCCAACTGACAAGTCCTCGTTCAGTTTCTTCATCTAAAATGGCATAATTCAAGCGAAGTCGAGAGAGAGAAACCCTTTATACCAATCTCTCTTCCCCGATGCTGAATCTTGTTGTCTTCGCTTGGCTCCCACATCCAGAACGCAACGCAAGATGATTCAAAGTCAATTGTAGCAATTGCAATGTTTATCACCTTCTTTACTAAGTAGCACTTCATCGATAGCCTTGACCTTGAGTCAAATCCATTGCTTCTATGGAACAAATTTTCCCTCGAGATCCTCAAAGGGTTCACGAACCTGCATCAGAACGAATCCATCGAACCAAGCACTTGCGATACCGAGATAGGTTGTATGTGGCCTTTGTGTCTTGTGAGTTGTAAGCGGTGAGAGATTGCGCAAGAGGTGAGGAGAGTAGAGCTTGATGGACGGCAGCAAACCGGATCGACAAGTATCTAAAAGATCGATCAAAAACCATCACTATCGCCCAGACTTGTTATAACTTGTGGGAAGTCAAGTCGGAACTGCCACTAGAAGGAGGGTGCCAAAAAAGAGTCGGCATGGTCTGACAAGGTCTATATACACCACGAACCCCCCGTAACCGGTCCTCATCGGGTGGTGAGACCCGGTTGAGGCCCGGGTTTCTTATTGGTGGTGACCACCGTTGACCAGACGTGTCCGTATTACGGTGGGGTAAACCGTTTTTTTCAAAACCCGTAATGAAGCGGGTTATCACCCATTCCAAACTAGGAGACGTCTCCAACCATCCTTCTGGCAAAGAGACAATTGATTCCTGTTATCGACTCAATTTGAGGCCTCAACTCACGCTCTCTTATTCTTTAAAGCTCGTCACAAAATGAAATTCAATACAAGTAAATTGTTACTTTCAAAACAACTGAAACATGATAAGATTAAAAAAACTGCTGATCACAAAAGTGAATGATAAGATAGAAAATTACAGATGGAATTGTTTGAAACAAACAATTCATATACAAGGAAGCAAAAGTATATTTACATGAATAATATGACATTTGTAAGATAAAATACGAGAGGATACAAGAGATGAAATCAAAGGGAAAACTTATGTATGTGCCATACATAAACTGATCTGTGCCATAATTACGGGATACAAGGTTAAAACTGGGTTTTTTTCCCAGTTTCCCAGTTTTTGTTTTTGGCTGTGTTTGGAACTTTCCCACGTTCTCCCAGTTTCCCAGTTTGCGCAAACACAGCCAAAAAGTCCGAATTGGGAAACCCGGAACAAATCCGGGTTTCTAGTTTGTATCCCGTAAATCAAATACATAAATTCTAGCCTTCTTGGACATGCATTGCCTCCTCTGGTGACTGTTTGGTTCCAAAGGTTTGATTTAAGTACTCAATTTCCTCCTGAATTTGGGCCTCGGTGGGCAATGAGAAGTCCGTAGAAGCCTTCAGTTCGGCAAAATTCTTGGTACCATCAATGCGATTCATGTCATTCTGGTCACACAAGGTAAAAAAACTGAGAAAGGTCCCTTGATAAGTAGTATGAAGGGTGTAGTATTTCAATGAGACGGCAGGAACAACTTACGTGTGACGGTATCGTGCGGATTTAGTACGTAAGTGCTCCAGTTGTTCATCAAGGACTTCCCACAAAGATCGGGATCCATATGGGAATGCCTGGTCATTACGCTTTAGCCCCCAGTGTATGGCCTGCATCCTCTGTGAGACAGGCAGAAAATGAAGTTAGATATAAAATGGCCAATAACATAATCAAACACAACCTACCACCCATGCGTATTGAGAGGACCTGAGGTAGCCCACTTCGTTCAGTACCTCTTTGGTAACAAGTACTTGTCCACTCACACCATGTTCCTTTTGGTACAGCTGGGTACAAAGAATATAATCAATGAATTTTACACATCTATTATATGATGATGAAAACCTTACTTTGACAATGACTGTGTCAAGGACTGGAACTGCTGCATCAACACGCGGGGTTTTTCGGTCTGGAAGATAAATGTTTTGGAGGAGCTGGTGAAGGTCAGTCAGATATAGAGGTATTTGAAAGCTGGAAAAGGAAAAGAAATGGCATACCAGGTTTTCAAATTCCTTTCTGACCTCCTTCAAAGAAGTATTTACCAAGGAATGGAATGCACGGCTGGATTTGTTGTCTGGATCCACACCATATCGAGGTGGAAGATATTCCTTCTTCCATTCCGTTGGCTTACGTAGAATTTCGGTCTGGTCTCTTCTTCAACATGAAGATATTTGAAGAAATGGAGCAAAGGAAACACTTACCATCACTTTTCCGTACAAACAAAAGGGTAGCGGATCCTCATTGAATATTCGGTTTTCCTTGGCCGTGTATGCCTGAACATCACCATCCATTATCTTCTTCACTGCTACAGAACGCACAACTGCCTGTATAAATAACGAATATGCATTGGTCACGCGTCAGATTTGTTGAAAGAATGATATAAAACATATTGAATTGATTTGAAAACAGATGAGAGAATACAACATACTTTTAGCTCGCTATGGTCTTGATCTTTCCAACCACCACCACCACCTCGGGTAATTTTGCTGACTTGTTTCTTGATTTCTTCAAGCTGTTTTGATAACAGTAACACATCTTGGCGCATGGATAGAGTAGCAACCATGCACGCATGGAATTGATCCTCAGGCCTGGTAACCTGTCAATTGAGGCAATTAGTACCTTTTTGTTGTGTCAAACATCTTGTCTTACTGACGTTACAAAGTTTTCGCCCAACAGTTCGACCATCGTCATCGAGATCGGCCCATGTAGCAATACGTTCAAATGATTGTGATCGTGCTCCTGTCATATGGGATTGGATAGCATTTGCTCTACTGGTGTTGTTCTGCTGATTGCGCGATAAAGTTCTGAAGGAGGCGGCCTCTGCGGTTAATAATTTGTGATTGGAACATATTAGCATCGGAAGTTTCACATAAAAGACATAGGACTTACGACGATGTTCAGGACCTTCACTGCTATTACGATGACTGCTTTGATCTTGATCAGGGTGATAGGTATCTTGATCAGAATCGTCTTTATCATCAGAGCCGCCGTTGAAAAGATTCAAATCATCCTGATTGAAAGGATCTTCGTATCCTTCCTTCTGAGATACTTCGCCAGACTTTTGAGACCCTTGTTCAAAATCTTGGCTTCGATGATTTGGATTCGCTCTTTGGGCTAGATTGGATGAAAGGTGAGATTCTTCTTCATCGGAGTGTTTGCTTCGAATATGATTCTTTGACTTCTTGAGTAGATGAGATGTGACTTGAGATTCATCTTCTTCGGAGTCTTCAGTTCGTTTTTTAATGTTTGCTTTCTTGGCTACAGTGGATGACCGTTGAGATTGTTCTTCATGGTTGTCGGGAGTTGGTTCGCGTGAGAGCCGATTTGTTTGAGACCGAGTGTATGCTCGAGATCTAGAAACCGTTGGAGTCTTGCGAAGCTTGGTTTGCTGATCTTGAGTACTGGCCTTTGAAGCGGTTGGTCGTTGATACGGTCTATGTCGTTGACTACGATTGGACATGGGCGAAGGCAAAGGCATTGATGATTGGGTTTGATTGAGAGGTGATGATGATTGGGGTTGATTGAGAGGTGATGATGATTGGGGTTGATTGAGAGGGAAGATGTGAGGAAGTCCGAAAAGAAATGACATGGAGGGAAGATCGTGAGATGAATGGTTGAAGAACAAAGGATACAAATTGACCCGGCCCCGAAAGTGATATCATGTATTTCAAATTTCTCAACTCAGCGGAAATCGATCATTGGTTTTTGTGAAGAAGAAGAAAAGGAGAAATCAGTCATTCAATGTGATTGGTGAAGAAGATAAGAAAGAGAGAAAACATTGTTAAAATAGCAACCACTGCGATCTCGAAAAGGGAATCTAAGGTAATCTTTGCGAAGATTTCCTTTTCGAAAGTTGATATGATATCAAAGATATCCTTTGATTAGAAAGTTTCAAAGGAAACTGGTCTCGAAAGGGAACATTTGGGGTCCTTTGAGGACATCATGTGATGCTGATGTACTCAGGAATTTGTCACGTGACCCCCTCCGTGACTGCGCAAGTCGTCATCCAACCCATTCTCCTAACACTTTTCACTCCAACCGTTCTCCTTTTTTTCCACCTTTCCTCATTCTTCACTCTATCTTCTCTCGCTTTTCGCACAATAAGAGAACAACGTTTAGAAATATAAATCTTATGATTGTATTTATTGTATTTATGTTAATAAAAATGTAATATAAGAATATTCGATAGTGAGTTATCTTATTGTGCGTTGGATGGTCCGGCTATAGGTTGGCCACTTGAAAGATACTTCTCAACCAATTCAGAATTGGACGGGCCAAAAGCATGTGACTGGCTACTTTTCCTCCTTTTCCTTTTGGTATGGCCCTGTTGGCTACCTATCAGCTTATCTTTTTCTTTTTGATGTTTCTTATCTTTTTGTTCACCTTTTTTTTAACCGCTTCAGTCCAATTCGAAAGGCCCTTTTCAACGGCCTTGACCCAGTCCTGTGAATTGCCGCCTTCGAAAGTGATCCTAGCACACGTGTGGTGTAGCTCGGCTGAATAGAAGGCCCCTGAGTTTAAGACAAACTGGGTGGTGTCCTCATGGACGACTACAAACTCCAGCCTGTTGGACACTTGGCGTTCGATCATTGTTGGCCGAACCTTCTGAACTGTGCATTTACTCTCATGGCAGTCGTGTTGGACATTCAGGACACCTTCGATGTCCTGGAATGGAGGTCCACATCGAAGATTTAAAGATGTACTTATTCATTCAGATGAATTGGTGATTACTCACCCTAATTTTAATCCACACGATTGAATCACCAAGATTGATTTTTCGCATTTCATAAAATGAGCTGACCCTTCCCATCGAACAATCTATTGCTTCAATCATCGTTTGTTGAATTCCACAGGCTCCTACGCCCCAAATTTTTCGAACACAGGCTATCCTGCCAACGCTAGCGTTAGTGTTTTTGAAATATATAAACGCATCTGGCGTAACTTTTTGTTCGGTTTTCAAAGTGATAGATTCAAGTAGTTTCCAATCCTTAGCAGCAAATGCACTGCTTATGTCCTCTGGGATTAGCCCTCTGGTTTCTGATGGTTGCGAGAACATTTTCCCTATTGTTAAAATAGAGGAGTGAATTTTAAGAATAGACCACATCAAACTTCAAAATGACAAATTGCTCACTTCCTACATGTATTTCTTTTTCCTGATTCCACGAACTATTGAAACCTAAAGCTTTTTGGAATAGTTTGTTATTTTGAAAAATTCCTTGGACTTTTGAGCCTGAGCGGATATATGTTTTGAATTGCTGATCATATAATGTTGTTCCAGAAGCTAGCGCTCTCATTAGTTTATAACTGTTGAAAGAGTTAGCAATTTCACGCCCAGGACTTAAATGATTTGAATGAATTGATGCAACTCGAGTGATTTTGTTATATGATTCAAAATTCTCGGTTGCAAAAAGACATGGAGGACCAAACCTTTGAATTGAATCACATAAATGTATCATCATGTGAAACTTGGGCTTATTGCACCATTGTACGGTGTACGTGAGAAACCCGGAGCCCCAAAACTCGAAAACTCTTTTCGCAACATCGATACTTCAACTACTATTACAAGTACATATCACGAAACTACTCAGCTGACCTTCAAACACAATTTTGTAACCCACGACTCAGCTGATTCGGAACAGTGTAAGGTGTGACTTGGAAATTCATTGCAACATCTTAATCTGAACCACCCTGCTACTCGTATTCCAGATCTTTAAATTAATTATATATACTGATATAGCACTTAAGACGATTCCACAACGTGCGTCATCCGCTAGACAACCTCTACCAGAAGGACTCTACCTTGAAGTCGATTTAGCTTCTACTCGTTCATTTCTTTCTTATAAATCTAACGATTTAAAAATGGCGTTCACGGACTCTGATTATAAAACCGAAGCCAGACAGCTGATTCAGAAAGCAGCTTATTCGAGATTTGCCGCCGCTCAATACGAGATGGGATGGTTATATGAGTATTCATAACTAAATTTCGTCATTTTGATCCATTGTTATCGGTGGAATATTATACTTTGGCTTCCAAGCAAGTTAGTTGTATGAAGTTTTCCGGCGTCTCAATAGCAATAATAGCATTGCACAAAAGGTTCCAATAATGTCTCTCCTTGTCCTGCTTTTGAAATACAGGGAGAGATCAAAGCCGATATGCCACTATCTAAATGGTTCCTCTGTGGTGCTGAAGGTTACTTCACTCCAATTAGAAGATCAAGATCGAAAGTTTTCTGGGATATCAAAAGAGAATTGAAATTATTTGAATATGATGGAATTTGTACAAGCAAGAAAGCAAGAAAACCCATTGGTGTTTGCTTTTGTTTGTTTGTGAAATGTGTTTTTACTTTTTATAAGACAAATTTCTATGATGTTTCTCTTATAATCTTTTTGAAGTAGTTTCTTTTTATAACATTCAAACTTGCTTGTCTTTATGTTTTAATGAAGTTTGAATTGATTGGAATCAAAGATTTTGGAGGTATTTGTGTTAAAAGAAAAGAACAAGAGAAGTTTTTCCTTTGTCTTCTTTGCAAAGGTTTTTGTAGTAAACAGGAGTGTGTTGGCATGGTGAAAGGGAAAGATATAATGAGCAACACGTTGACACTCTATTCTAATATATATCATGAGCAATCAATATCTTCCTATCAACAACAGGTCAAAGAATTGAAGTTACTATGAAGAAGTTGTTCTGGCAGTTTGCTGATAGGTTTTTCAAATCTCAATGTCGTGAGCAGATGAGAGACATACACATTGTCTCTCATCTTGATATACTTTGAAATATACTCTCTTGGTCAAGGGGTTGTATTTGATCTGTCAATGATTCAATTGTCAATCTGCCTGGTAATGTATATGAGAGCTGAGCAGCTATTTGACTCGCAACTGACAGAGGAATAGATTAGATCTGCAACTAGTGCAAAATGAAGAAAGAATGAAGAAGTATATACAAGAAGAAAAATTTACAACTTGTCCAGTTTGACCTGGACCTGCTGGTCATAGCCTTTGACACGATCCTGGGTGTACAATTCCCATTCCTCACTGGACATCTTCTCTTTTTTCAACATCAGGGCCTTCCCCATATTCACCAATTTAGAAGATACTTGACATGAAGAGCCAAATCGTGTCAATGGAGCCTTTGACGGAGGAATTTTGCGGCCCAATCCATTTTTGGTGCTCGACTTGAGAGTAAAGTGTTTGACCTGGGTATTCCAGACCATCTCAACTACACCGTTGCATTCATCAAAGTTGATACCAACTGAGTAGTCTGGTAGAGAAAAGATAGCACCTGTGATGTAACAGTTGCGGGGTTCCTTGACTATGTCGTGGATCTTGCCAGTTGACCTATTGACACGTGCAAACATTCCAAAAGCATATGGTGTGGCATCTTTGTCGCAATGTGCCTTATTGGTGAAGTTGTCACGAGTAATAGCTACGCTGGAAGCCCACACTTGACCGTTGGCTGATGTCTCCCAGTCAGGAGAATCAAAAGAGGGAACATGTCCATTAGCTGCTATTTTGGAATTTGCTTCGAATGCTGTCATGGATAGAGTGGCGAATCTCTCTGCCCAGAAATCTTTGGCACAAGGAAGATGGAGGAAGCTGCGCTCAATGTCAAGCCAGATTCTGTCCTCTGAATGAGATGTTGCATGGTTGAGGGCATAGTGACCTAAAAAATAAACTGGAGTCAGCTCATATTGAATGTAGAACAATTTATATAACATAAACTTACCAACATCCTTTCCAGCATCCGCAGCTATGCCAGCTCCACAGCGCCAACCTAAAGCTCTCATGTCACCATACTTTCTAATTCCTTGTAAAGCACCGTTGTTGGTGACATGTCCTCTGGAAATACCATGTAGATAAAAGGTGGAGATTGATGATTGAAATAATGCATAGAGCTCTGGATGCATATCACTAAAATTGTTGAACCGGGCAATCAAGAGCAGGTCAAGAGTGGTTTTGTCAACAAGAACCACAGTACCATGGCTGAATATCTTCATCGGCGCAGAGACAAGTTCTTCTTTGGACTTCTTATTGACAAAAAAAAACTTGGCAGTCTCCGGTAGTCCATATTCATAGGCGATTTGTTTTCTACGGGTGTTTTCTTTTTGAATCCTTAGTTCAACGCGCCGTTTCTTTCCTTGGATGTCCTTCTCGTTTCTCTTTTGCAAATCGTACTTTTGCTTCGACGGTGATTTAGGCATTTTGTTTTGTGGTGCGAGAGGTTGGTGAGGTTGTGTGTAGTTGTTTTAGCGGAAAAGGTGCTGAGGGTAGAATAGATGATTGTAGAGTGCGAGTGAATTTGATTTGTTTGATCAAGATGGGCATTGTGGCCATCTTGATCACTTTATATTCGTTTAGGACCAACCAAAAGGTCAAAAGCATCTAACAGACGATCATGCTTTTTTATAATCTCAATCACTCAGGACAACTAATCAATAAGTCCACTATCGTATCTCGGAGAGAAACAAAGCCCAAAAAGGCGAGTATATTAAGCAATCACGGCTTTTAGACTTTTACACCCTTTTCTTTACTCACAATAACGATTGCTGCAACGAAGAAAGCATCGTTATTGTGAACTATCGCCGCACAATTCAAGTATCTCGATCCGATCACGACTTTTACACTCAATGGGACGTTGTGGAAAGCAATTCCTAGGATTGTGTCTTAATCTCGTATCATTCTTTTATTACATTGTAGATCAACTCATCAAAGTGAAAGAAAAGATACATAGATGACTTTCTTCAACTCTTACAAGGCACAAGGGACTGGAGCAAAATTTGAAATCCTCATAACAATTCATATTATTTTCATTATGCATTTCTCTATACTTCATTATCAAGGGACTCAAATACATACAAAAGTAAATTAAAAGAATAAATTCAAAACATCAAATGAAATACAAACCTTAGAAAAGGGGTCAGAGTCGAAAATTATCAACATTGATGTGATGCAGGAATGAAGAAAGAAAAAAAACACTTACATATAAAATCAAGCAAGACCAAACAGTTGATCTACAAGAAAACATGTGCCAAGATTGAACATTTCAAAGTGTCAGTATGATTCAGAAGAAGGAATCAAATAAGATAACAAATTGATTTTAATTACATACCTGAATTAAAGATCATGATCAAAATTCCAATTGAATTTAAACTTCTATTTTGAGGTCCTAACTTGATACTAGATGAGAACTTGATGAATATTGAGTAAGCTATACAAACAAGAATCAAAAAAACAATCAAATTCTAAATAAATAAAGAAACAATAGAAGTAGTCAGTAGTGTGTAGGAGAGCAGAGACTGAATAGGAAACTTACTTGGATATCATGAAGTTGATCATAGGCCAAGATCGAAATGATATACTTGATAAGTGGTTCGATTTTGGGGTCCTAATATCTAAACCTGATTGAGAGATGAAGGTGGAGATCGAAATTGAATTCAAGAATAAAGGTTGAAGTTGAAAGGGAAGAATTGAATTGATAAAATAAATAAATTTGTTTTTGGGGTTTGAAGTCAAAAGAAGGAAGGAGATTAAGTCAGTACTGAACAAGAACCAAAGCTCAGAAGGAGATAGAATGATAACTTACTTACATAATGATTAAAATCGAAATTAAGTGATTTGAGGTCTTGAGTGTTTGATTTAAATTGAAATGAACGGTCGGAATCGAAAGTGAGATGGGATAGAGGATGGTAGGAAGAAGTGTGAGGTGATAAGGGGATGGGATCGAAATTTAAATCTATCGGACCGATTAAAATTGAATCTAAAAATGAAAGGAATCAAAGAAGAAAGAAGATGAGATTAGTAAATAAGAACAAACAAAAGAGGGAATGAAACTTACTTACACATCAAGAGCCAGAATCGAAATTTGAAAGATTAAAGTATGAACAAAGATAAGAAAATTGAAATATAACCTTACTTACATGAAGACCCCAAAATCGAAAATGGAATGAAGGGACATTATTGAATGAACAGTCAATATCGAGATTGATGAAGTCAAGATCTAAAGAAGAATGGTTAAGAAAAGAACATAGAGAGTTAGTACAGTGAGAAAGTGGAGAAGATAGAAGAGGAAAGCAAACTACATACCAACATCGAACACCAGAATCGAAATTGAAACAGGATTGGAGTTTGATCTTGAGGTCTGAAGTTGAAATAGCTGAAAACCTAATTAAGATCGAGTGTGAATTGGTTGAGATTTGAACCTACAGTTGAAGTGAATTAAAAACAGAAAGAAGATTAAGTTAGTATTGAAGAATGAACGAGAGAATGAATAATAAGAAATTATAAGAAATGAAAAACAAACTTACTTAAATAGAACTCAAGATTGAAATTGAGGATAGTGAAGAATGAGATAGCGGAGATCAATGAAAAGACAATTTAAAAACCTTACCTTTTGTGATTTGAAGAGAAGAAAAGTCCGATCGGAGATCGAGATGAAAATTGAGAAAGCAGGAGGGAGGGATCGAGAGAAGTTATCTATGAGTTTGTTTTTTTTGTCTCGTTTGTGTAGGAATCTGTGGTATCGTTTTTCTTTTTTTTGTGATCCATCCAAGGGATCATCAAGTGTTCTTTTCGTGTGATTCGCGTATTAGTGTGGATCAAAGAGTGTTCTAGTGTTAGTTGTTAAAGTGTTCTGATTGTTGTTATCGGCTTCGTGTCCGTGTCTAAGTGTTTTAATCGTGTGTTCAAGTGTTCTTGACATCGTATAAGGTTTTTTTTAGAGTGTTCCATCAAAGAATCAGAATATCATCGTTAGTTAGTGTGTCCGATTAAAATCAAGTTTGTTAGGATTTTTTTTATCTCATTGAAAGAAAAAGAAAGATAGATAATAAAACAAACCTTTATCGTAGTTTAGATCATCGTTTGTAGTGGTTGATCTTGAAGAATTGTAGTGTTGTTGTTTTATTTTTTTTCTTTTATTGTAGTTTTGCTGAGCTGAGTCGTGAAACAGTTGTCAGTTGGTTGGATTCAAGCTCAGGGCCGGGTTTTTTTTATCAGGGCTTTCCATATATCATTTTTTATCATTAATTTTTTACTCATAGCAAGAATTATTACTTTTTCTAAAATGAATGGCACCCCTGGCCCGAGAAAAAAAAAGTTTCCAGTTGCCGCAGTTGCCGCAGTCACCGCAGCTGCTGTGATGAATTTTTTTTTGCTTGAGAATGATCCATCACTCCTGATTTGAATTTCCTTCTCTAGCTCTTGTTCTTTGTACAATCAAAATCAACCATGAGCGAAAACCAACATCTGGATCCAATCTTTCTCGGTATCAGCCAAACCAACAAGAACAAAAGATTGTCTTCTAGATCTGAATCATCTGGACCAGAAGTCTTAGCAGATTTGACTAATGGGGTATGTCTCACTTTCTGTATCTATTCTTTTTTCTTATATCTAGACTGACTCGCCTCAAAATTTCAAAGGTCAATTGTGCTTCAAAGACCAAGGGCAACTCTGAAAATCGTGCAGCAGAAGATGAAGATGGCCCCTTCAAGTTCAACTTTAACTGTGATTTCTACGTGCCCAACAAGCAAAACAAGTCTGGGTTTCACCAAATCACCTGCTCCAACTGTACGATTGAATGGGATTCAAACAATTTCAATTTAGATGAACTCAAGTTAAAATGCGCTGAACTTGCCAAAAGTGACAACACAGGGGCGCACATCAAGTCTGTACTCAACAAGGTAATTTTCGATGAGGAGAGTGGGGGGGTTTGGACTCTATACATTGCTTCAAACCACAGCTTTCCAAAGACAAACAGGAACCGCAAAGTGTTAGATCACAGCAATTTTCAATCGTGGGTTGAAGAGGCACATGCAAGTTATCCTAAAAATAAGGCTGGGATTTCATTTGTAGCTCCGCATCCGAGCAAGCTCAAGGCACGAGCCGAGGCGGTGAGTACAGTGTCCAATTTATCCCTGGATTTGATGCAGCTGACATCCTTACCTTGCAGGCTGCCCAAACTGATGCTGTGATAGCGCATGCCAAACAACAGGAAAAGCGTCAGGCATTGAGGCCATCAGATAACTTTGAATCTGATCCTGAGGTGAGTCTGTAACCATCTTCATTCTCCAACGTTCTCTCTTTGGATGCTTACATCATCTCCACATCCAGAACGGTGATTCAGACAGCTCAATGAACTCTCAAAATGATGCTGTAACGGCTTTTGCAAACAAACTCTTTGAAAAACATGAAATGAACAAGAAGTACAATAAGACATACCCTCCGATCATTGACCCAACGGATTCAACTTGGTATTTCGCCTTGACATCGAAAAAGGCTAAAGAGTGGGCCAAACACCGTGGAAGTCCAGACTGTCTTTCAATTCAATTATAGTGTATTGATTGTGAACAATTGAACGTTAAACTCTAGTACGATGATGAGGTTAGCCTCACTACCCCACCGGCTCATTTCAAGTATGATCTCACAAAGACCTCAGCAAAACAGCATGACTCCCCTCAACCATCGTCATCGTCTGCCCCCTTTAATCCTGCCGGGTTTACTGAGCTACTTGTGGGAATGGTTGCCGCCATCGAAGCTAGTCGGTCCCCTACTAAGCCTCCAGGTCACGAGCAAGAACCAAATAATCCAATGACACCTCAGCCAGCAAAACGACCAGCCAGTCCCGAAGCCCAACGAGCACTCTCACCTTCGCCTCCTCTTGCCGATGATCCTTCCAGCGAAACCGGGATCAACGGATTCCTTGAATTCTGCAAGTTCTCCGCTGAAAAGACAAACAACATCAAGCGGATCCTTGAGGAATTGTCGGTCACAGACTACCGACTAATCAATGAAAAAGAGTTATCACGACAAGATCTTCTTAACAAAGGACTTCCTAATATCACTGCTACAATGGTCTACAACAATGCTATTAAATATAGAGAATCTCAGATCCACAAAAGAACCGAGGCCAAAAAAGTTAGACAAGGCCTCTAATTACCAGATTGATCAAAGGAACCATTCTGATCTTTTTCAAATTTGATTATTTTACTACATATCTTATGATTTGTTGTGAGCGCCAATGTCTCAATCACCACCCCTTTGTACATATATTGTTCAAAGATCCTTCCTCCTAAATTTGGTTCGAGTTGGTTTCTTGTAATGAAAAATGCTGTGTTAGCCATAGTAACCTATCTGAGTCAGATTGACCAAGATAGAAAGGTTGAATTATCGATCATCAAAGTGACCGATCAAGATAAAAAGTGAT